GTACCGGGCAGGGCAGAGAGGCCTTAAAGCACCACAAGCCAAAGCGTCTCTGGGGATTAAGGATCCTTTGCCATAAAACTCATTTTGTGTCTCAGCAGTGCAGGGATTGGGGATGGAAAAAGTTGCCAGTTTTTGTGTGTTTGTGTGTGTGTATAAAGTGGACTTGCCACTTTAAACCAACCACCTAAGTTTATCAGGTGCTTCTCTGAGGAAGCCTAGTTTTTTAAGCACAATAGCAAAACCATCAGCTCTGTATTTTCTCCTGTTATTTCATTACAGTAGCTGCTTCTGGGGACTAAGAAATTATTCTTCTGACATCTTAAGGCCTAAAATCTTAGTTCCCCGTTCTCATACCTTTATAGATTCATAGGCCTTTCTCACCTAGGCATCATAGATAAACATAATTGTTTCGAAGGTTAAATTCAATGAACTTACCTAATTTTGTAACCCATCTTGATTTTAGTAACTTTATCAAGGTGGTGGCTTTAGGGAATATAGTGGTAAACTTCAGAGGAAGCTAATGCCTCCTCTTACAATGCTTCTCAGCTGTAGGGAGAGCTAAAGAAAAACACTCTGACTGGCAGGGTGATTTTCTTCCTTGAGGCCACTTACAGTGACTATTTATTGTACTTGACTCTTATGCCCTAGAATGCTGTGAGGGTTACCATGTTAACTTTGTGCAGAAGCTAAAAGCACCAGATGTGCCAGAGATGCAATTTGTGATTACGTTTGCACTGGATTGTGATTTGACAGGACACTTAATAACTAATGAAGTCTTTCTTTTGAGTTGGGGAGGAGGGTTGTAGATGGATTTCACACCCTAGTCTTGTAGCTCAGAAATCTAGGTGTAGCTGAGGTTGGTGTGGAAGCTGCAGACAGCTGGACTTCCTTACCCCCATCAGACCTTGCAAGAACTGAAGGTGAATGCAGAGGACTCTGAAGTGCTACCAAGAGCCTTTTGAAATAAAAAGAAGTTGGTTTCTGTTTTGTTTTTATGCTGAGGAGTCACTGCAGAAGCATGGAGAGAGTTTTTAAATGATCCAAATGGGGGAGGGGGGGCCAAGGGTTTACAGAGTAACAACTTCTCTATTGTAAATTACCTCATCTGTATACCTTGTATTGGGACACTATTTCTCAGCACTACCTGTGTCTGCATTGCTTAGATGGCAAGAAATGGAATGCCAATATAAAATAGCTGTGTTGGCAGTTACTCTGGAAGGTTTTTAAAAGTATTTTCTAACTTTGTTTGAAGTGGCCCCCCTCTTTTTTTAAGTTTAAAGTCAAAAGTTCCTCCTTGATTTATTGGTTGTAACTGTATTGTAATTGGTATAACTAAAACATACCTGTGCTGGGAAGAAGTTGTGCCATGAAGGTCTTTAATTTTTTTTTAATAAAAACATTTAAATAAATAAAATGTCCCTGCAGCCTGAGCAATATGCTTCTCAAACCGACACCGTGTGTGATAGGTGGCTTACTTTTCACATGATTTGACTTTAATAATGGGTCGATGGAGATGTTAAGTGGGATGGATTGAAATTTGTCAAGGGCCTCTAAAATCTGGGAGTTTTTGACATGGAGGCACAGTGAAGGGAATATTATGTTGCTGAATAAGACTTATTTGATTTCTACCCTTTTACATACTTGGTTACTAGGCAGATAATGCAACTTCTGAATTAGTTTCATCTGTTAATTTGGGCCATTATTTTCTTGGGATTGAGTGTATATCAAGTTTGGCACCTGTTAAACTCTTGATAAATCTAATGTCCCTGGCCCTCTGGTTTGGAGAATTAGTCCTTGGTCTTAACTTTCCCATAGTTCACAGTATACTCCCTGGCAAAGGTCCTTCCTTCCTCAGGACCACTGTATATGTAGGTTTGAGCAAGGGAGACTGAGTGAGGTGTCTTCTGAGATCTTTTTTAGCTCTGCCTCTGGTTTTTTAGGATGTTTGATGTTCAAATAAAAGGCTCATGGAGACTGCTTTAGCAGAAGAGACCAGTGTACAGTGAATCATAACCCCTACGGAAGGTAGCTCAGCCCTGAAGGCCACTTGCAAGAGTCTTCAGGAGCCTGGGCTGTGTGAACTGGTGAGCTTGTAGGAACGTGCTGTAATTGCAAACTAAAATATAAACCATCAAAGGGCTACAACCAAGTGAAACAGATTAGGAGTTTGTGAACACCAAATGAATAAAAACTGAGGATAAACTTGAATTGCCACTTATTTCTCCTTTAACTACAGGTTTAATTAAAAAAAAAAAATTGAAGCCAGAGGAAATGCTAGTACCCCAGTTTCTACAGAGTCCACCAAAAAAATGTATGCACACTTCAGCAGTTCGCTGTACTAATAAATGTCTGGAAGCTAATGGCCACCACTTTGAACACCTCATAATATTAGAGGCCAAAGGTAACTTGTATTAATCTCATGATATCTCAATAAGTTTAATATTAAAATATTTATACAAGTTTTTCTTTTCCTGGTGTATGTATTTTTTTAGCAGACTCTGTAGTTTCCTTTAAATGTTTAGTGCATACTGTTGTATGGCACCAGTGTATTGGAATTGAAATTATTGGGGGTTGAGAAGTAAGATTTAAATACACAGAAGCATTGTGTAATATCGTGCATTTGAAATGTTCATGCAACTTCACATATACTTTAATGTATTATTTCAGTGTTTTGTTTTGTTTTGTTTTGTTTTGTTTCGTTGTTTTTCGGACAGGGTCTCACCATGTAGTTCAGGAGGCTGGCTTTGAACTCACTGTGTAGCCCAGGATACCTCAGAGGTATCACAGTGATCTTCCTGCCTCACCCTCTCAACTGCAGGGATTATAGGGGTGCACCACCACGCCCAGCTAATTCTGATGTATTTATTCCTATTTTACATTTGAGAGAGGCATTAAGTTGCTACAGTGTGTCTATCAGAAAGAGAATATATTTTGTAAAATGGTTTTCTGAGCAAGGCTAGTTACTCAGTTAAATGTGGTGACACATACCAGTAGGCCCAGTACCCTGGGAGGCTGAGGCAAGAGGATAGCCAGTTCAAATTAGTGACTGATACTTTGTCTCAAAATAAAAAATATAAGGGTTGAGGCTCTTGCTCAGTGTGAAGACCATAGGTTCAATTTAGAGTACCACAAAACAAACACACAAAAAAACAGAGTACAGCTAGTTACTGTAATGGTAAAGGAGAGAAAATTGGAAATTGAGTAGCAGATTAGGGATTTTTAATTTTTTTTTTCACTTGAAATTTCATCTTTGTTGTTGTTAAATGTGGTTATAATTAGAACTGACCATTTGAGCATATCCTGAAAAATCTAGTTTTGTCACTACCTACAAATTTCTACCAGCACATGCTCTCCCAAGATTAGAATTAGATCTCAGTAGTTACTTCTTAATCACCAGTTCTTGTTTGCCTCCCCACTGGCAATTTTCTTCATTGTGCTTCATCTTTGGGCACTGTGCCTGGTATGTGTGCAGGAGAGGCTGCTTTCAGGGCCTCTTTGTGCTTAAGGAAAATGTGAATCAAGGGACTTTGAAGTCTTCTCAGTTCACCCCAGATACCAAGTCCAAAAGCCTCAATAATGCTCCATCCATTGAATCACCTCTCCTTGCTTTCCGCAGTGCCATTGCTACTCTTGCTCTGAACAAGGGTTTTCTCTGGTAACATTTGGATACTTAAGCAGTTTGTCTTCCCATGTGCTAGTGAACTCTTTAGTGACCATGCTTGTCATACTGATATTGTCCATTGTAAAAGTCTTTTTAAAAAGCAAAGCCATTATCTCTCAGGAATAGAGAAATGCATGAAATAGCATCATGCTTAATAAATTCCCTCTTCTGTTTTCCACTGTCACCCTCTCCTACACACATGGAAGATAAGTAAATGGATTGTAAATCTTTAAGTAAATGTCTCATAGATTATGTCAAGATCATTAGCACCTTGTCCTTAGGTTTGCAGCTATAATTAAAAGCCACAGGCCAGACTGTACTGACATGAAAAAAAAAAATTTATTTAATGAGCCATGGTGAAATCCTAAGTAGCCAAAGGCTAAGCAGTGACCTGATCAAATTAGTAGACTTAAGTGCTAAAATCTCTGCTTTCTACCGTTCATATGTAATCATATAGAACTCACATCATTCTCTAAGGCAGATTTCTAATGAGAGTGTCAAAACATAACTGGTTTTGGAATCCATCTACATATACAAGTACTTTATAGACTTTATAGCCTCCTTTTGATCCTATGGTAAATTTAACCACTTCAGAGAAGCAGTGCAGCGGAACTACAAGTACCCTGCTTCTAATCAGAGTTTATCTGGCTATGTGATTTTTGAGTCAGTTACTTGATCTCTCTAAATCTTCAAAAGTGATTTGAATGGTTATTGTAAAGCATTTTAGACTTGTACCAAAGTATAAAGAAAACTACCACCCAAGTAAAATCTCCATTACCAGTACAGATTGAGCCTCTTTGTATCCTTGCCTAGTCATACATTCTTCTCTTCCTCCCTGTCCCTGGGGGTCCTAATATTTTCATCGATAAAATTTGGGGATAAAAAATACTGTTTTTTTAGAATAGATGATAAATGCCCAGCACAGTATCTAATATGAGTTGAGCCAAATGTTGGGTTCTACTGTGAATTTATAGTTGTGCAGATGTATGATAGAAGGATGGCACAGATTTGTGCAATTTTCTGACAGTTTTCCAGGAAAAGGCAGTAAAGTCTTTACTAGAAAAGTTTGTGCTGTAAATGTGACAGGTGTTCAACAGATAGACATCAAGTTTCTGATTCACACAGAAGCCAACATTGCTCTGTTCTTGACCTCTGTCACTCTTTCATAAAGATTCTACTCTTTCCTCTGAATTTGTAATTTCTCTATTAAAAGCCAAGTATTTTTGCACTGTAGCAAATTACAAAGTATATTTGTCTCCCTGTGGCCATAATCCCTAGAGATTTTTATTGACCACAGTGTAAGAAGCCCTTCCCCAGGTGCCTCCCGATGAGAGCTTACAGGACGTCCAATCCATTTCTCAGAGAAGTTCCTGAGGGGATTGAGTGTTTCTGAGCGAGCAGCACTCTTGCATCACCTACTTTGACAGAGTTGTCTTGGCTTCTGTAATGAGAAAAAGGAAAAAAGTGGCTGGTAAGTGGCTCCCTGACTCCACATTATGAGTTAGTCTCAGTTGTAGATAGACATTTGCTGCCAGAGCTGGAGATAGAGGACCCTGCTCCGTTTAACAGTTCTGGGAATGCCAAGTTGAACCTGTTAATGAAGTGTAGATCTGCTGAGCTATTCTTGCCCCATTCTGTGTAATCATTCCATTCCTTACTCATGAGAGATTCATCTGGGCTTCCTCACCCACTCATCTTGACTGGTCTTTCCAGAATTGATTGCTACATAAGATACTTTTGAACAAACATTGTTGGTGTCCATGTGCCTGGCCCTGTGCTAAACACTGGGGAGTGAGAGGTAAAATGCAGGCCCATGGGAGAAATGTATGTTGTTGAATAGGAAAGTCAAAGACAAGATGGGGGATGGTAATTCAAATTATGGTTTCTTTGTCTTTGTCTTGTCATACTTGCCTAGGGAGGGCTGGATATGCAGTCTGGTAGAGCTCTTATCTTGCTTATATGAGATCTTGGGTTCAGTCTCCGGCACCACAGTCAGTCAGTTCCCTAGGAAAATTGCAGATTTCCAATCACCATGGCAGACCTAACTTACATAGTTACCCACTTCTTGTCCAAACACCTGGGTGCTGATAAAAGCACATTTCAAAAAAACAAAATGGAAATTCCCAGACAGAAGATAAGAAGAATTTATCCTGAAGGTAGATGGGTACTGAAATCACTAGTGGCCTCCCAAGACACCAGGCATAGATACAGATGAGCCTTATGGGTTAGAAGCTAGGAAACAACCTCAAGACCAATCAAGGTAAAAACCAAAACAATCTTCTACTAAAAAGACTGCCTCCAGGGAAACAAAACTGAAGAAAATGAAGTATCAATTGTGCTTGCCTCGGGGAGGTGAGGTTACTGTATGTGTCCAGGCTAGGTATGGTGGCATGCGCCTGTAATCCCAGCATTTGGGAGGATGAGGCAGGAGGATCGCTGCAAATTCAAGGACAGCCTGAACTACAAAGATAGGTGTCCCAGAAGAACTCAGTAGAGAAAAACCCCTGAACTCTTGGAGGTCAAAGAAGCTTTTTTTTTTTTTTTTTTTTTTGTGAGACAGGATCTTGCTATGTAGTTTTTAGGCTGGCCTCAAATTCATTCCTGCAGCCTCCTGAGTGCTGAGATTACCAGCGTGCGCTGCCATACCCGGCTCAAGCATTCTTACAAACAGGGCTACCCAAGCTGGCTGGTGGGAAAGACCCCAGTTTAGCAAGCTTGAGCTGCCAGAACCCAAGATATCTACCCCCCTCCCCCTCCCCCTCCTCCTCTCCCTCTCCCTCTCTCTCTCTGTCTCTGTCTCTCCCTCTTCCTCTCCCCCCCCCCTTCCCTCCTGGCTCTTCTCTGCTTCCTGCACTGCTTTTGCACAACTTTGGAGCCTGGAATTCCTATCTGGACTTCTAGCCCTTAACTCTTTCTCTTGCTTCTATTCTCTAGTCCTGTCTTTGTCCCCAACTAAATGTCTAGGTCAGCTTTACATCAGCTGATCTAGACTAGGTTCAGCTGAGCAACTGTGCTTCAGATGGAAGGTCAGCTGGGTGGGTTGCTCCGTGTGGTTCTTTCTGGGTCCTGTGCTGAAGGCTTCCTGGAAAGTGCTCTTCTGATGGATTGCTGAAACATGGAAGCTAAATGAAATCACACAGGCACATTGCAAGCCTCTGGTTGTGTCACATGTGCTTCCATCACATCAGCCAAAGCAAGTTGTGTGACCCAGCCCAACATCAGTGGGATAAGGAGATATACCATGCTGGGAGAATAATGTGAAATTAAATGGTACAGGGTATGTTTTACGTATAGTCTTATTGGAGGGTACTAAAGAATTAAAACCAATAAAGTCATTGACCAATAATGTAATTCTGCTCAGTAGGAGCAGAAGACCCCATATATAACATATATATGTTTGTGTACATTTTTTTAAAATGGCACCAGGCTGGGCGTGGTGGGACATGCCTGTAATCCCAGCGCTCGGGAGGCTGAGGCAGGGGGATCATTGCGAGTTCAAGATCAGCCTGGGTTACAAAGTGAGCTCAGGGCCATCCTGAACTGTATAGTGAGACCCTGTCTCAAAAAACATAAAAAATGGCACCAGATCTTAACCATAAGGAGTGTGAATTGCGGATAATTTAATTCATTTGTGTTACCAGAGTTGTACATATATAGGTCAGCTCTAGGTACCCGTGGAAGATAGGTTCAAGGGCCTACCCCCACCAGATACAAAAATGCTCAAGTCCCTTACATAGTTAACTCAATACCTAATAACCTAATAAATGCTATGTAATATAGCTCTTATATTATGTCTTTTAGGGAATAATGACAAGACTGAAGTCTACATGTTATGTGCAAACCAAATTTTCGATTCTTGGTTAAATCCTTGAATGTGGAACCCACAGAAAAAGAGAACAAATTGTATATGTGTTTATCAAAGAGAACTCTTGTTTTCAAACAACAGAAAACAAATCAGTCTTTGAGGCTTCCTGGCCAGAAACAACATAAAATCTTACTGTACACAGGGAGCTTCTGGAGGCTGGTAGTTTTTCTTTACTGGGGTAATGAGTACATGTGCTTTTCCTGTGTAATTGTTTGTTAAATTATTTCATGTTTGGTAAATTTGTTAAGAGGTCAAATGCTGAGAAAATTTTTAAAGCGAAGGAAAGCTAAACAAACTAAAACCAAAAAGTAATTATTAAGGAGAGAAGTTAAACTAAATGTCATACTACTGGCTCAGCCATGAATAGAATTTACATACAGAAGGGAAATGAATACTGCTCTAATCAGAATTACACTATTAGGTGTAATAACGGATGAGTGATGGGAATTTGGGGTATGTGTGGTAGTGTTGATAGCAAGACAAGCGGTGTAGCAGCACCAAATGCACATCTTTTGTAATGGGAAGTAAATAATGACTGAACAAGGGGTACTATGTGCATGTTATTTTGAGATGTTTTTATTATTGTTAACATAATAGCACTATGTACTTTTAAAACTATGTATTACTCTGGTTTTAAAAAAAAAAAGTAAACTTAATTTTAATAAACGGATATTTATTTTGAATGCATCCACTTCCCACCATTCTAACTGCCAGGTCCCTCATCTGGGTCCCCATTCTCTCATGCCTGGATTATCACAGCAGATGACTGATCTTGATCCCTTCCTATTTCTCTCTTGATTCCAGATTTCATCCTACACCCTGCAACCAGAAAAATCTTTCAGACATATAAATCGTCTCACCTTTTGTTAAAAGCCTTTCAAAGACTCCCAATTGCAGACCGTATCAGTTGTCTCCCAACAGTCTTTCCTTCTCTTTTCTGTTGACAGAACCCCAGTTTGGGGAGCAGGAAGGATGTCAGCCCTGCTTCTATGGGACTTAGGTAGTTGTGACTGTTTGAGAGATGGCTCATGAAGAGATGTCTGGAGAGCTGAAATCACAGGACAGTCAGCCGGCTCCAAATCTGAAGAGACGGGGGAGAGAAGACGTGAGTGCTGGCAACTGCTGTGAATACAAGTAGCCGCGCGAGAGGGAGCCATGGAATTGCAGGCATCTTCACCCCTCCCAGGGTTCTCACTTCAGTCCCCACTGGGAACACAGTGTCTCTAGTAAAGATCTAGAGAAAGTCCACAGCAGGTGCTGCAAAAGGGTCATAGCATGCCATCTTGTCCTTCCTTGACTCTGCTGCACAAAAGCTTGAAACTGTAGGGAAGGCCACACTCACCCTGTGGCCCTGGTAAAACCTCTTTAAGCCTGGAGGAGTGAAATTGGAAGAAAACAAACCTACCCATGGGCAGGTAGAAGTACACACTCCCCAGAGCTCTAGGTGTGTGTAACACCAGCACTAAGGAGGCCACACCCTGAGATGCAGGATACAGTGCCTGGCAGATGTAATCAGCATAGCAGTGAAGGCTCCCCACCTGCCTGCTACCTGTCAGTGCTTAACTCGCAGTGCTGCGAGCAGGTGGGGAAGGAGCTCTGGGAAAGGAACACACCACAGGAAAGCCATCCTGTTTTGGGGCATTGCACAAATGGAAGAACTGATGTGCGAGGTGGAACATATATTGAGGGGAAAACCCCTTTGACAAAGCAGCCAGCTCTCCCAGTCCAAGGCATCATGTAGGAATTTGAAGTCTGATCCAATTAGGGATGACCATAGTAACAGTAAACCTTATGCCCAGTCTGACTCTAAAAGACCTATTAGAAGGAAAGGTGTGTCCATTTCCTCTCTAAAAACCCTTTCCTGAACTGGTGTGGTGCAGACCTGTAATCCCAGCGCTCTAGGAAGCCAAGGTAGGAGGGTAATAAGTTTGAGTCAGCCTGAGCAACTTAGACCTTGTCTCAAAATTTAAAGAATTTTAAAAAGGGGTGGGTATGTAGCTCAGTGTAAAGGCCCTGGGTTCAATCCCCAGTACTGCAAAAGTAAATAAAAACTATTTGGTCTCCACTGACCTGTATGACATCCAGCTTTCACCAACATTTAGAAATCAAGAGACCAAAAAGGGAAAGCAGTCTGAATTAGATATTACACACGTTGCAGCTATTTGATGAGGAATTCTAAATTACTGTAACAAACACAGTACAGAGTCCAACAAGAAAAGTAAACTACAGTTGGGTGCGGTGGCTGAACTATGCAGTGAGACCTATGTCTTTCAGATAAATAACTACATGCAAGACCAAAAGTTGTCAAGGGCTAGGTGGGGTGTTAACAGCTCCAAGTTCAGTCCAGCATCAAGGGATAAAATAATCACAAGAGATGGGAAGTGAGAGTTAACAAAGTGCTCAAAATGAGAAATGGACAGAATGACCTCAGTGGACTCATCAATAGATTTGACAAGCAGCAAAGGAGTGAACTTACAGATAGGTCGGTGGAAACAACCCAGGCTGAGACAAGAAGGTGAAAGGGAGACAGCATCCAAGAATTTGACAATAGGGAAGGTTCTACATGTGTTGTTAATTTCCAGAAGAAGAGAGAATGGGGAAAGAAACAGTTCAAGAAATAAAAGGTTGAAAATTTCCTCGAAGTCACTAAAATTCATATCCAAACAGGACAAATTTATGCATAGACAACTAGGCATATCATTAAAAATGGTAAGACAGAAATCTTAGCCAGAGGGGTGGGAAAAGATGTTTTGAAAGAAAGGGGATAATTACAAACTTACTGGGAACCATGCAAGCTAGAACACAACAGAATGACTTCTGTTACATTTTGTTTTTTGAGACAGTCGCTATATAGTTCAGGCTGATCTTGAACTCACTCTGTAGCCCAGGCTGGCCTCAAACTCAGCAGTCCTGTCTCAGCCTCTCGAGTGCTGGGATTACAGGCATCTACTGCCATGCCCAGCAACAACAGAATGTTGAAAAAGTTGTCAACCCAGTCTTGGAATCCTATAATCAATAAAACTACCTTTCAGAGTAAGGGAGAAATAAAGTTTTTGTCAAAGAAATGCTTAGGGAATTCACTACCAGAAGACCTACTCTACAAAAAATACTAAAGGAAATTCTTAGGTAACTGGCCACACAGAAACTTGGAGCTACAAAACTTATTTTGAGATAGGTATTAGTTTGTGGCCCTGACAGACCTCAGACTTCAGATCCTTTTTTCTCAGCTTCCTGAGTGCTGAGTTTTCAATTGTGCACTACACCCATCTCTACAGATCAAAACTAAGAGCCATAGAAATGGAATGAACAAAAGTAGTAAAAATTTTTAGCCGAGTGGTCTATATTCCCTCCTTCTGTGGCATTGAAGATTGAACCCAGGACCTTCTCACTGAATGATGTCACCAGTCCTTGTTACTTTTATTTTGAGACAGGGTCTCACTAAATTGCCCAGGCAGGGCTTGAATTTGTGATTCTTCCGCCTTGGTCTCCCAGAGTGCTTGGATTGTGGGCCTGTGCTACTTTGCCCATCCCTTTTATTAATTTGGATGCTTGTAGTGTACCACTGGGTTACACCCCAGTTTTCAATCCTGAAGTCTAAAGTAGGGGTTTAGCAAACCCTGTGAAGGGTCAAGTAATATTTTAGGTTTTGTGGGTCAAATACCTTAAAATTACTGAGCTCCACCATTGTAGCCAAAAGCAGCTGTAGATAATAGGTAAATGAATGAGCATGACTGAATAAAACTATGGACACCAAGTTTGAACTTCTCTATTTATTTTAAAGACAGCTTCACTATGCAGTTTAGGCTGACCTTGAACTCGCTATGTAGCCAAGGCTGGTCTCGAATTTGTGGCAATCTCAGCCCCCTGAGTTCTGGGATTATAGGTGTGTACCACCATGCCTGGCCTGTTTAAATTTTGTATGCCACAGTGTATTTTTACCTTTTCTTTCAGCCATTTAGAAATGTAAAAGCCTTTCAGTTGGGACAGATTAGTCTTTCCTAACAAGTGGAATAAAGTAGAAACATTAGCAATTGTGTTCTTATCTCACATGTAAAATTTTTAAATATTGATAGATGAATTGTGGTGTGGCCATATAATAAAATCCTACCCAGCAATAAAAGAGTAAACTTGATTCCTACAACACCATGGGTTGCTTTTGAAATAATTACGCTAAGTGAAACAACCCAGGCAAAAAAATTAGCTACTCTATGACTCCATCCATATAAAATTTTGAAAAGTATAAACCAACTGTACTGAATAGATAGATCAGTGGTTCTCTGCAACTGGTTGAGGGATTAGAGGGAGAAAGCAAGTTTTAAAAGTAAAATGTATGATAATCACATGAGGAACAGGAGGGAAAATATAAGCTAGTGTTGTGAGGTCTTTATACCACACATGAAGCAGGACAGGTAAATAGCTGAAGGTAAAGTGTGGGACCAGGAGCTACCCGCAGTCATGCTGTGATCCTGCAGGGCTATTGGAGAAAGCATTCACATGGAATAGTGACTGCGCATTGGAGAGGAGATGGAGAGGAGTACTTGTTTTGGTTTTTTCAGTAAATTACACACTACTGTTATCTCCTTTTCATTAGATCAATAGTCCAAGTGTGGGCTAGCTAGTCCTTTTACTCAGGGTCTCATTAGGCTGAAGTCAGGATGTCAGTAAAAGCTTGTCTCAAAATAAAATTTAAGAAAGGGCTGGGGATGTAGCTCGGTGAATCTAGTATTTGTAAGGCCTTGGGTTCAATTTTCAGTACTTTAAAAAAATTTAAAATGTTCAAAGGATTTTAATTAGGTTTATTAATGAGCTGTATGTAGTCATGATTTACAAATTTATTTATTTATTTTGGTCTTTTAGAGACAGGGTCTCACTATGCAGTTCAGGCTGGCCTTGAGCTCACTTTGTAGCCCAGGCTCGTCTCAAACTTGTAACCATCTTCCTGCCTCAGCCTCCCGAGTGTTGGGACTACTACAAATAGATTTGTAAAGTCAGTTGAAATTTACTTTTTGTCGTTTTGAGACAGTTTCACTATGCAGTTCAGGCTGCATTTGTACTCAACTATGCTAGCCTCGGCTGGCTTCAAACTCACAGTGATCCTCCTGCCTCTCAAGTACTGGGGTTATAGGCATGCAGCACCATGTCCAGCAAGTCAGTTGAAATTAAGGAAGAATTAGGTTTGGGGATTTCTTAATTGTATTTAGGAGTTTTGAGGGAGTTTGTTTCTTTAAAATAGCTTCTCCCTATGTGGCCTTGGTTGGCCTCACACTCATGGTCCTTTTGCCTCAGCCTCACAAGTACTGGGATTATAGGGGTGTGATCATGCCTGGCTGATGTCTTAATTTTAATGAAATATTTTAAAAATCAATGTAGGTTAGGCATGGTGATGTATGCCTGTAATCCTAGCCCTTGGGAGGCTGAGGTAGGAAGGACTGCTAAGAGTTTGAGGCCAGCCTGTGCTATAAAATGAGTTTAAGGCCAGTTTGAACTGCATAGTGAGACTCTATCTCAAAAAAAGACCAAAAGTAAATCACAATGTAACTTTAGAGTAATTTCTTCTGCTCATGAAAGTTACTTGGAAGACCTTTAAGAAAAGAAAGACTTTTTGCTGGAGATGGAGGTACACCCCTGTAATCAGAGGCTGAGGCAGGAAGATCACAAGTTCGAGGCAAGCTGAGACCTGTCTCAAAAAAGGGAGGGAGGGGCTTTACAAAATCAGGCATAGTGATCCACAACTGTAATCCCAGCTATCCGGGAGGCTGAGGCAGGAAGATTGAAAGTTTTAGGTTAGACTGGGCAATTTAGTGAAATCTTGCCTCATGATAACATTTTTAAAACGGTTATGGGTGTAGCTCAGTGATAGCACCGCAAAACAAACTTAGAATGCAACAATGAACCCTGGAACCTACAGTGGACAGGATGGATATGAAAGCAGAAGGTGCAGGAAGTCTTAGGAAAAGAAAACATTGGGGAAGGGGCGCATAAGCCACAGAAATCATGAGAATTTGAGTGGGGCTTTGCATTGAATACTTGGGAGATGAGGCAGTTTCTGGCCACGATGACATCAAGAGGTGTGGCTCAGTGGATGCGCACCGGATTGGATAGAGAGGAGACCAAAGACCTGATAAGCCAGGGTGCTATTTGGATGGGTGGCGCACAATTCAATGGAAGCAATGCTCCTATAATCGGCTACATTTAGTGGCGACCCTTGCAGTTCAGCAGTGAATGACCTGTGAAGTCTTATGGTCTTGTTAAACCCTGAGGTAGCCAAGTATGGCAGGTGTGCGTGTGGGAAAGCGAGATAGGTAAAACGCAAGCAAAAACAATAGCTCATAATTATGAAGAACCGTCTTTGCCATACGCTTGGTAATCAATGCACAAGCTCAATAACCTTGTGAGGTCAGTATGTTTATTATAATCACTACCATTTTACAGATAAAAGCAAAAGAGTGCTGGGGATTTAGCTCAGGGGCACAGCGCCTACCTGGCGAGCACAAGGTCGTGAGTTCGATTCCCGGTACCGGAAAAAAAAAATAAACACCGGGGCGAGAAAGCAACATCAGATGGCTCGGACGCGACCAACTCGGTGGACTGGTGCCTGCGCGCCAGCCCCGCCCCTCGGCCGCGGGCGTGCGTGCTGGCGGACGCCCCGCCCCGCGTAGCGAGGGTCACGTGCTGGCGTGGGGGTGGGCCCGCCTGCGTGCCGCGGGCCCACGGAGCCGAGGCTTGGTCGGGAGTGGGCCCCGCGTTACGCGGCTGGAGCCGCGTCTCCTGACGGCTCGGCCCCCAGCCGGGGCTCGGGCAGGGGCCCGGGCCCCCGGGACATGGCCCTCCGGTGTGAGCAGTGTGACGGCCCTACTTGCAGCCGCTGGGACGGTGGCACCCAAGAGGCAGGTACGGAAGCCGGCGGGGATGCCGGGGAGCCGCCTAGGAGGACGGCTTGGGGGCCGGGCGGCGAGGGGCAGGGTACTGCTGTCGGAGGAACGGGCCGCGGGCGAGGCCTGGGGTCGGGACAGCGGGAAAAGAAAGGGCGGAAGGCCCGGTCTAGAGCGGGAGAAGGCCTGGCGTTGGTCCTGGGCCGACCGCGGAGGAAGCCGGCAGAATCGCGTCCCGGGAAGGAAAGTCGTGGCGGGGGCCCTGCGCGGCGGCCTGCTCCTGCCCGGAGCGGAGAATTGGGCTCCTGAGAGCCGAGGCCAGGCCTCGCCTCCGGGCCTCACACTTGCCGGCCGCGGACGCGTCCTCAGACTCTTGGTGCCACCTTCCTCGTCTTTAGGCCGGGCTCCCAAACTTCACTCCTACCGCCCTGTTGGCTTACGCGGCCCCCTTGTAGCATCTGTTCCTTTGACTTACCCGAAGGCCCACCCTTTTTAAACCTGCATCTTAGCACATTCAGAGTTGTAGGAAATCTCCGCTGACCAATTCCAGAACGCTTTTGATTCCAGAAAGAAAGCTTTACTCTTCAGCAGTCCCCACTGTCCAGTCTCCACAGCTCCTGACAGCCGCTCTCCTTTCTGCCTCTATTCTGTGCAACCCATTTTAATGTTATTTGTGTAAAAAGCGATAGTTTGTTGTACACTTTCAGTCTAAACAGTATCTATGAAATCGTGATTTTGTTTGTGTTCTCAAACACGTTTTTCATATAATAGATGCATGTCAGTTAAAATTATGAACGTTTACCCCCTATCAAGTAAAATAATATTTTCCCCCCTTGGGGAAGGCTGAGGTAGCTGTCTGTCCTCTTCTGATGGGATGGGGGATGCCCATCATAGAACCAATCATGTTATTTCAACCCCCGTATTTTGATGAAACTTTCTATTCTTCCTTTTTTCTGTTGATACAGGTTGTAAATGGAGCTCAGTCCACATACATCTTTCTGTGCTCTTTGGCATGATAACCCTTTGCTGGTGTTTGTGTGACATCTGTCCTCATGGAATAATAGTCACTGCCCAAATGACAGAGGTCTTGTGACCTGTTGCAGTGCAGCTGTATCTAGGTTATAAGACTACCAATCTAGTTCCCTTGAGTTTTCTTTTCTGTGCTGAAAAGAGGAATTTAGATATGAGGGGGGCTTTCGGTTTTGTTTGAATTTTAATCGTATTTGAAAATTGCTGGCAGAGTTGGTAATACTAGAAGCCCTCATGGTCACCTTGATTTACTCTTAGCCGTCTGTCTTCCAGGGTTGGAGCAAAGCCCCCCGACATACACACTAAGTTGTCCAGACTGGGCTCTAACTTGGAATTGGAATTGGAATCATCCTGCCTCGTGTTCCTAGAGTGCTAGTATTACTGGGGTGTGCAACCACACAAAGCTTTAAAGCATCTTTTCTTGATGCCTGCTTATCTTTCTGTTTCAGGTAGTTAATGAATCTTCAAATTTGTGTACTGTTTCGTAGAAATTAATTAGGACCACTAAAGAAAAGGCCACATTGTTTTATTTTGTTGTTAATAGGAATCTTACCCAAAATAAGGTCGTTTTCCTCTTTTACTGTCCATCTCTGGTACAGAGATGTTTAAGCAAAAATTTTCAAGTTTATCTCTAAGCTCCCTATCAGCTGTTCAGGGGCATATGTCTGTCTAGGAAAATTAGTCTCTCTGTGTCTCTTGTCTCTGTCTATGTGTGTGTGTGTATGTGTCCTCCCTCCCTCTCTGGGCTTTTTATTGTTTTGATTAAGGCTAATGTTTTTAAATTTGAGTTTAAATTTTGTTTGAAGACTGTAAATTTAGCTGGATGTGGTAATGCATGCCTTTAAAACCAGCACTTGGGAGGCAGAGGCAGGAAGATCACTGTGAGTTCAAGGCCAGTCTGTGCTACATAAGCAAGTTCAAGGCCAGCATTCAAGGCCAATTTGCACTACCTTAGTGAGATCCTGTCTAAAAAAGAAAGGAAAAAAAGACTGTAAAGTTAGCTGGTCCAAGTGGTGCATGCCTGTAATCCCAGCACTCCAGGCTTTTGGAATTCTGTTCTTTCACCTCAACTTTTGTTATGTAATGTGTAAATTACTTACCCACTCCAGTTCACTAAGTATTTTGAGGCCATGGAAACTTTGAGAGAGTAGCTGAGATCTTCTTTAGTCCTGATCCTTCCTCTATGTATTAGGTTCCCCAAGCCAGGGACTTTCGGAAATACCTGTTACTTGGGAGAGGAAGAAATTTATACTTGGGTTCTATAATCAGAGTTTGGAGATGTTTAAGACTGAGCCATCTTTGTGGCTGGGGGAGGGGGGGTGTTGCTGGGGCTCAAACCCAGGGCTTTGTTATGCAAGGCAAGAACTCTACCACTCAGGGGCACTCCTAGCCCTGGATGGGCTATCTTTATCTGAACTGTAAAGAACTGTACCTCTTTCATGGCATTTTAATGGCCAGCAGGCTGAAGTAGTGCCTGTGTCATTCCTTTTTCCTTTGTTGAGTAAAAGTACCTTTCAGGCATCAGGAATTTATTTATAATTTCACATTTTACAGCCAGCTATAGGACAGTCATTTCATCCCATCATTGTTACGATAACCAAGTCCTCTACTACAAAGGAATTTGGAACACATCAGCTTTGAAATGTACAACACACCTCTCTTAGTGAGGTACTGTGTAGGCTGGAGAGGAAAGGATTCAGAGTTTAGAGGGTAGTAGGATATCTCCTGGTGAAAGGTGGTCTCTTTTCCCTGAGCCTAAACAGCATTCTAGAATCCAAAAATGTGTGTCCTCATACCAACTTCAACAGCACAAATACAAAAATGTGTGTCCTACTTTAAAATCCACACATAAAATTTATCTTAATATAAAATAGATAGTAGGCATTCATTTTACTCTTTTCCTGAACATCCCAAGAGTAGTTCTATAAATTTTGTCTTTCTGAGATAAGTAGGACATGTGTCAATTAGTTGTTCAATAGAGACCTTGCTTAGCTTTTCTCATTTTGTAGCTGTTGACCTTCTCACTCTGCACTAGCTTGCTTGAGTTTTGTTTTCTCTTACCTTTCTGTATCACAGTGAGAGCCTCGGCATTGGTGCAATACAAAGTATGCATGGGGGTGGCACATACAGGAGTGTCTTCTTCACCTGCCACTAACATCTAGCCTTGGACTGACTGAGGTAAGAAAGGCAGTGCGAGGGCCTGAACAGACAGCAGCCAGGATCCACAGGTGAGCAGTACTCTACCCCGAAAAGCACCAGGAGCTTTAGAAACAGAGCAGAGTCTACAGATCTATTCAGAATTCTGCAGTGAGCATATGCTTAGCAATAGTATGGGAAAAGTGACGTCATTTACTATAGGCCAATGTTTTCCAGTGGAATGGTAACTAAACTAAAATTTTATTCTATTCTATATATGTATATATATATTTATTGAGTTCCAAAAATAAGATTCCACCGGTGAATCCTAAAATACAGGGTTCACTGGTGGCACAGGCCTGTAGTCTCAGTGTCAAATCCCTGTCTGGGAAAAAAAAAAAGACAAGAAGAAGGAAAAGAAAAATACAGGATCAAATATAGAATGGGAACAGTCTTAAAAGAAAAAAAGAGCCGAGCATGGTGGCACACACCTGTAATTCCAGCACTTGGCAAGCCTGAGTCAGAAGGATTACCCTGAGTTCACAGCCAGCCTGGCCTATCTACTGAGTTCAAAGACAGCCTGAACTACATAGGAAGACCTTGTTTCAAAAAGTCAAAAAAGAAAGAAAAAGAGAGAGAAAAGAAAAAAAGAATCGGAGCTGTGATTTGGGTTCAGAGTTATTTAACATTCTGGCAGATGCCAGAATCACATCAAGTCCAACTGATTGCATCCAGTGTTCTCCTCCCAAGATACAAGCAGCAGCTTCCTCCTCTCCCCCAGTTTGCTGAATAGCTACTTAGAAAGAGGATGGAATGTATCTAAATAAGTTGACGAAAATTTCCCATACAACTTAGCAAATGAGTCAACAAAATTTCTCAATGTCAGTGTCCCTCAAGTAGTACTCAGTGTTACCATTTAAGTGCTGTTACTAGGGGCAGAGGGTTAAGAAAGGGTCTTGCTATGTAGTACAAGCTGGCCTTGAATTCACAGTAGAGCTCAGGCTGGCCTTGGACTCACAGCAGTCCTTCTGCCTCAGTCTCTCAAGTGCTAGGATTATAAGCATGTGCTATCATGCCTGTATAAGTGCTGTTAATTTATGATGTGTGGAAAGTGCAAGGAAACTCCAAGTTTAATAAAATTTAAATACATTAAATTTTCCTCCTTGTTGGAAATTAATTGAATTCTAGCCCATATTCTGTCTCATCGTATATTTAGTGTCTCGGGCGAGGGGTGCAGTTAATGCTTGCCTTGCATGTGCACAGCCTGGCTTCTATGCCCAACACCAGGAGGACCAAAAAAGTCTCATCATTTTCCTGAGCGTTTGTGAACCCTCCCTGAAAATATTCAGTCTGGTCTTCCAAAAGATGATGGCTGCACAGGAGGAAACCCAGACTCCTGCTGAGCATGGTGCTGCATGCCTGTGATCTCAACTCTTGGAAAGCTGAGGAGGGAGGATGGTCAATTTGAGGCCAGCCTGGGCTACCTAGTGAGACAGCCCCATCACTACCACCAAAAAAAACAGGAAAAAAACCCCACACTCCTTGGCAGCGTAAATCCGCCCAGACTTTGACTAGCCTCACTCACTGCAGTCTTTCCTGCTTCTGGTGTCTTCCCTGTGCTTGACATTGTAACTCCACAGAATTTGTATTCTGTTTCTTGGTGGACATGCTGCTTTATAAACAGGACAGGGACCTTGCACATGCTCTCTCCCCTGCCAGGAATGTTTTCCCTTCGACCCACTCCCTCTTCCATGTGGCAGTTTCCAAGCAGGCACCAGTTATCTTCTTGACTAAGCCTTTCCATATTGTATTGGAAGTAATCATTCTCCCCTGTGGGTTTCCATGACGCTTCACAATCCTGTTACATGATGAAACGGTTGAGTCCCTCTCTGCTGTGAGCTTCTCAAGGGCTGGGCAGAAGCCATACCCATCTTTTTACCCCAATACAGAGCTTAGTGCAGGTAGACACTTATTAAATAATGGCCTCTTGGGGAGGTGGACAGATGGGGAGTAGGTGGATGGAAGGAAAACCTGAGCCTTGCTCTGTGATAGGGAATTAGGGGCTTGGTTTTTAATGGTTTCTAGGTAAAGCAGCCGTTTAATTTAGCCTCCAGACTGGCCCATTTTTGGGTGTTCAGGGAACAGAGCAGTTATACCAAGACTAATAGGTATAAATCAAGAAGATTTCAGACAAATGGTCACCTTCCTCAGTTCTAGAGAAACCATCAACAGTCTAGCCAGGAGAACAGGTTTACCTGGGCAGAAAGTCACATCTTTTCCTGTTTGACCTGCAGCTGCATGTGACTCCAGACTTCAGTTTGTGTGGCTTTCTATGTCACGGTTCTCATAGGTCACCCGGGACCTGATGCTAGCTCTCATTTGTGTTAGTAGTGCGCAGCTTTGTCATGGAAACTGTGTAAACTGCTGTTGTGTCAGAATAGGACCTTGCTGAGAAAGCTGCTTAGTGCCTCTTCTAAAGTTTAACCTACCTTCTGGTGTTATCTTCTACCTTACGTTAACTCTAATACCAGTGTCTAGCTGGGCATAGTGGCACACGACTGTAATCCCAACGCTCAGGAAGCTGAGGTAGGAGGATCATTGCAAGCTCAAGGCCAGCCTGAATTGCATAGCGAGACCCTGTCTCAAAAAGACAAAGAAACAAAACAAAACAAAACAAAACAAAAACCCAGGGTCTAGTACCTACTCGTTTTTTTTGTTTTGTTTTGTTTTTTTTTTTCAGTAGTGGGAATTGAGCCCAGGGCCTTGTGCATGCTAGGCAAGCACTTCCACTGAGCTACATCCCAGTCCCATAATGATTTTTTTAGTGAGTCTGTTTGCTGTCCAAGTAAAGGGCCTGCTTCCTATTTGCAAGTCTTCTATTCTGTATCCCACTGAGTTCTGCCATTTTTAAGATGTACTTTTAAGGTGTCTGACCTGCCAGTCTCTGAGCTCTTCACTTTTATTGTCACCACATGCCTTTACATGGCAGTTACAATGCACTGTCTTGTGATATTTGTTGTTGTCTTTTGTAACTTCTCTTGTGCTTCTGGTTTATCATCTCAGTGGTGAAGGCAACAGAAAGACAGTAAAAACAGGCATCATTCGTTTAACTTTTAGTAAGCCATTCCTAAGAGCAGGCATTGTGTATAAACTCTGAAAAGCTATGGGCCCTTTATTTTATTTCATTTCATTTACTGGGAATTGAACCCAGGGCCTTATGCATGGTAGGGTAGCACTGAGCTAAACCTCTAGCCTTTTTTATTTTTTGTTTTGACACAGGGTCTTACTAAATTACCCAGGCTGACCCCAAACTCATGAGTGTCCTCTCTCAACATCCCAAGCAGCTGGGATGGCAGCCATGTGCCAGAACTCGTTATTTTAAATAGAAGAATTATATGATGGTATCAACCACAGACTGCCAACCCATTTCCTTAAGAAGTAATTTAAACTCAGTAAAATGTCTGTGCAGGAAACAAGATGCTTAAAACATGTTGCACTCTCTGCTTTGAAAATATTTCCATGCAGTTCTGATGTGGCATGTAGCTGAAGATGTTTCCTTGTCATTTTGTAGTATTGTGCTCACTTCAGCAGCACGTACAGTAACATGTAGTATTGTGCATTTTTGTTTCTTTTGTTTTATAGTTGTGGAAATCAAACTCAAGACCTCAACAAGTGCTTTACCCAGAGGATAGCTTGTCTAGGAGTCAGGAAGAAAAGAATCCTCAGCCGTAGTTCCAAATTTTGAATTACATTTTTTCTCTATATACAACAAGGGAAAGTTCTTAGCTTGAGATTTATAAGCTCTGTGAAGTCTGGGTATTAAGAAAGAACAGGAGGGCAGATCCAAAATTGCTGGCCCAAGCGCCTGCCTGGCAAGTACAGGGTCCTGAGTTCCATCCCCGTTACCAAAAAAAAAAAAGAAAGAAAAAAAGAACAGGAAAACATTGGCACTAACTGTTAGATATGCCTGGATTTACTGAACATTTATTGTAATTTCTTGCTTGTTACTTTCACAGTGTATCTCTGTTGTCATCTTGTTTGTTTTGTTGTTGTTTTTATTTTTTTGTCTTTTGAGATAGGGTTTCACTATTCAGTTCAGGCTGGCTTTGAATTCACCTTGTAGCCCTGGCTGGTCTCAAACTTCCAGTGATCTGAGTACAAGGATCACAGGCGTGCAGCACCACTCTCGGCCTTTCCATACTGTTTTACATGTTTGTACCAGTTAGATATCTTTTAAATCTGCTATTTCAGAATGAGGAGAACTTATATTTGGTTAGTATGATCTGTGTACCGTGGTGACTGCCCAGAGGGCCAAGAGGTGATTTGTTCTGCCCAAAGTTACAGAACTAATGGGTTGCAGGGCCAGGATCTGAACCATCACTTGTCTGATGTTAACCACATTCTTTTTTTAACCACCCTTTGTTTTTCTTTAAAAATGTAATTATTCTGTGTATATCATTGTTGGTCCAAACTTACAGAAAAAGATCATCTTTTAAAAGTAGGCAACTTGAAATATATTTTCTAATAAGTGTTCCTCTCTGTGAGATGTGTCACACTAGGGCAATTAATCCTGCCTCTGCCTGCAGGTGATGTAGAAGCTGTCTGTGTAAGAGAAGTTACCTACCTTACTTCAAACCCAGTTAGGAGAGGGAGCCCTAAGCAAAAAACTCCATGTGCTGAATGTGTGCGTAATGCTCCCCACACATTATGTTTTTTCCAGACTTCAACACCAAAAGGAAAAAGAAAGTGGCAGAAATATACCAGGCTCTGAACAGTGAACCCACTGATGTGGCTGCCCTCAGACGCATGGCTATCAGTGAAGGAGGACTCCTGACCGATGAGATCAGACGAAAAGTGTGGCCCAAGCTCCTCAATGTTAGCACCAGTGACCCACCACCTGTACCAGGTACTGGGTGTGGGGCCCCACAGGGGAGCTTGTCTAGGAGTCAGAGAGAAAAGAATTGTGAGATGCTTGATTTGGGGGCTCATTTTTTAAAAATTTATGTTCTTTCTTTCTTTTTTTTTTTTTGAGACAAGGTCTCACTACATAGTTCTGGCTGGCTTAAACTCACTGTGGGCCCAGGCTGGCCTCAGACTCACAGCGATCCTCCTGCCTCAGTCTCCCAAGTGCTGGGATTGCAGCTTTGTACCACTACTCCCAGCTTTGTGCTCATTTTGAACCAAAAATAGATGAATACATTGAATTCTAGAGTTCAGTCTGAAAATAAGGCCTGATAACTACCTGGAATGAACTTTCATCAGTGATTAAAATATTGGCTAGGAAAGAGAGTCTGTTTAAAATGCCTTTTCTGGTTCAGATTCTACTCGATTGGAGATGTGTTATAGGAATCTGTATTTTAATCAGCACCTCAGCTAATTTTTATGCAGAGCGACTACATTTTGAGAAACAAAAGAAAACCTGTTTGTTGGGAAACATTAAGATCCTTTGGAGATCTTAAAATTGCTGGGCAGATCCCCAAAATTGCTGGGCAATGTCTGTAATCCCCAAAATTGCTGGGCACAGTGGAGCATGTCTGTAATGCCAGCAGCTCAGGAGGAAACTGAGGCAGGAGGATCATCATCAATTTGGGGTCAACCTGGGCAACTTAGTTGCAAGACTGTCTTGAAAATTTTTTAAAATTCTGTAATTATACAAAAAGCTGTTGTGAAACTAACTTGCAGAGCCATGTAGAGAAAGGAATTCCTAGAATGCAGGTAAAAATGCAAAAAAACGTTAGTGGGACAGTAGTGCACTTTGCTGTCCATCTACTGGATTCATTGACTTTATTGCTTTGATGCTGTTTTGGCAAAATGCCAGGTGCTGGGGATGTTTTTCTTTCATTTGGCAGATGTTAGTTGTGCTCCTATTGTGTGCCAGGCTCCAGAGATGATGACTCTGCCCGAAAAAGCTCACAGTGCCATGGTGCTGCCAAGGAGCCGCTGGGTTACCTCTCCTCCCCAGAGCGGCCAGCTCTTCATTGGAGGGCAAAGGCGCTACCTTCTTCACTCTTCTGTCAGATGCCACCCTTCTCAGGTCTCCTGATAAGATGAAGTGAGGAAGAATTGTACAGGCTTCTTTGAGAACTGCCAACCTGGGTTGTGAAGGAAATGAATGCTTCTTTCATAGTCCTTGCTTTGGGTTGAGGAAAATGTACACCTGCACACAGCGAGAAACAGCCTCCTTACTTTCATACTGTATTGGACCTAGGCCCTGACCACCGGGTCTGTCTCCTATCAGTGGCATCTTAATTTTATGATTTCAGGGCCAAGATATATTAAAATTATGCTGGGCATGGTGGCTGTAATCCCAACACTTGAGAGGCTGAGGCAAGAGGATCACTTAGAGTTCAAGGCCAGCCTGAACTGCACAGTGAGACCCTATTAAAAAAGGAAAAAAAAAATTGGTGTCTGTGGGGGTAGAGTACTGGGGATTGAAACCAGAGATGCTCTGCCACTGAGCTACATCCCCAGCTCTTTTCTTTTTTTTCTTTTTTTGTTTTTTTTCCAGACAGTATTTCACTAATTTGCCCAGGTGGAACTCAAACTTGTGATCCTCCTGCTTCAGTGCTAGGTTTTTCTTTATCTCACTTTATTCCTTTCAAACAGTTCAAGGCTCCTACAGTGTCACAGAAGTTAAGAGTTGTCATAAGGCCAATGGTTTTCATGGCGGTGATTTTATGCAGTTGTCATGGTAACCTGAGTGGTGCACAGGTTAGGGAATATCCTCACTTCCTGATGTGAGCAGGACCCTAGTGATGTAGAGCGCATCCCCCACAGGTGCAGGCCTCCACACCTCTCTGCTGCTCTCTACCCACAGGACTAGCCACCGGACGACCTGTGTCCCTCTTCTGGCCATCTTCTTGACTTGAGTGAAACATAATGTGTTTTGAACTAAAATAGGGGTACCTTCCCAAATATATCTTGGGTCATAGCCTCTTCAAGATTAAGCTGGAGAGACCGGGAAAAGCAGAGGCTGCCAGCAAGAAGCTGAAAAATAATCTCCTGATTAACTGAGCAGGCTCCCGTGTTTGACAGGGTGAAAGGAGAAGTTGCAGTAAGACCTGAGCAGGTGTCCTTGGGTCAGTATGATCTTTCACGCTCAGGTCTTTTCTTTAGCCTCCATTATCCTGTCCATCAAAGAAAGTAACCAGTAGTAATACAGCAGATGAACCCACCACAACTATCAAGAGCAGTACGACTTTAAAATCACAGTATCCAATTTAAGACTTCATTTGGTAGTGTTTCATGATTACCTCTCCCTAAGTTTATTTTATTTTATTTATTAATTTTTGTCTTTTTGAGATAAGGTCTTGCTATGCAGTTTAGGCTGGCCTTGAGCTCACCTTGTGGCCCAGGCTGGTCTCGAACTTGCAGTGATTGTTGTCAGCAGTTTTGACCAATATTCTAAATTTCTGAATTGTCCCCAGAAAACTTTCAGATTTAAAATTACTTCTGAAGGGTGTTTTCATATCTAATCAACACCAGTTCTGGGTTTTGCTATTTGGTTAAATTTTTGGTTTTGCCAAGAGATTTAAACAAAGGCACTCCTTGCCTTCCTACCCATTCATTTTTATTCCTGTTTGATGCCGACAGCACTTTATATTTATGATATCCGCTCAAATTCTCCATATCCTCCTGGAGGTTTATAATGTACCTTAAAGAGCTGGGAATCTGGTCAACTGTTTATTCCTATTAGGTATAATCATTTCATATCTACCTTGTTATATAGTGGTAATTCCAATAAAATGTTACTTGTTAGAAGGCTTTAAAAAGTAAAAAAAAAAAAAAAAAAAACACTACAGAATGCAAGTTTCCCCTTCCCCCAGCAGATTTTGTAGTGATAGGAGATCTAGCATCAGTTTTCAGTAGGTAATTTCACTGAGGTTACATTCATAAATTTCTCTTGAGGCCTGGGGATATAGCTCAATGGCATAAACGCCTCCCTAGCAAGCACAAGGTTCTGAGTTCAATTCCCTGTACCAAAAAAAAAAATTTCTCTCGATACACATGTATTTTTCTTTGTCTTTTTGAGATAGGGTCTCACCATGCAGTTCAGGCTGGCCTTGAGTTCAGTTTGTAGCCCAGACTGGTCTCACACTCACAACAATCCTCCTGCCTCAGTCTCCTGAGTGCTCGAATTACAGGTGTGCACCACCATGCCTGGCATTTTTTTTTTTTAAATAATCCTTTTGGAAATAGTTGATGTTGGGTGGCTTCATTAATATACTATAGAAGAAAACTGGTAATAACAGGAAGGGTGGATAAGAAAAAAGGAGAAATTTAGTTAATATGAATTCTATATTTATCAATCTTATACATCATATTGAATTTTGTTTTGATTTTTCTTTTTATTTTGACCTTTGAGACATGATAGAGTCCATAGCCTACAGTCTGTCCTGGAATATTAGAGCACTGATATGCTTAAGATTGTTTATTTAAATTTATGAGATTTTGCCTGGCAAGCACAGGGTTCTGAATTCAATTCCCAGTACCACAAAAAAAAAGTTATAAAGCTAAATTTATGAAATTTTACATATCTGTAAGTAGTGGGAAAACCAGTCATTCCTGATAGCTATAAATATGGGATAATTTTGTGAATACATTAAAATGAGGGATTCTTTTTTTTTTTTTTTTTTTGGTTTTTTTTTTCCGGTACCAGGAATCGAACTTACGACGTTGCGCTTGTCAGGCAGGCGGTGTGCCGCTGAGCTAAATCCCCAGCCCCAAAATGAGGGATTCTTAATGGTTGTGTAATGAAAAAATTTTAATTTGAAAAAAAAAAGAATAAACTAGAGCCAGGTTTGGTGGCACATGCCTATAATCCCAGCAAGTGGGAGGCTGAGGCAGGAGGAGTGCCCCAGATTTGAGGTCAGCCTTGGCTACATAACAAGGTCAAGGCCAGCGTAGACTATATAGCAAGACATTATCTCAAAAAAAAGAATAATGTCCCCAGGCCTTTGAGATCTTTAGAATGTCTTGCTTTTCCCAGGACTTGCATACATTTCTGCAGTAACATGTTCCTCTTTCTCCAATAGGAAAGGACCTACGGGAGGTGAGCAAGGACTACCAACAAGTGCTGCTGGATGTCAGGAGGTCCCTACGGCGCTTCCCCCCTGGTGAGAGCTCTCCACTTTGCCACATTGGAAGGAGCCTTTCTATCCCCTTGTACTTGCCTTCTTGTGTGGGTGCTTGCCAGTCAGCTGGGAAACAGACCCCCATGTTTATGATCTGTTTTGCTTCTCTGGCAATTCCACCTGAGGTCTGTGAAGAGGAGACTTGCCACGGGGAGCCTCTAACCCTCGGAGTTCACGCATCTGAAAGCAAGCCCTGGCTTGAGTTTGTCTGTTACAGGTCTTCTCTCCTCTTTGTATCCTTGCTTCCTGGAAAGGTGCTTGTGCCTCCCCTGTAGCCAGTAGCCTGCTAACTTCATTTATAATTTTTTAAATTTTTAAAATAGGACCTTGCTATGCAGTACAGGCCCTGAACTTGCTATGTTGTCTAGGCTGGTCTCTAACTCAAAATCCTCCTGCCTCAGCCTTCTAAGTGCTGGAATTAGAGATGTATGCCACCACTTCTGGTTTCATTTTGGTTTGGATAAGACATGTACCTGTGGTCGAGTCTCCCTTCCGGTCCTGCTCTTTTGGATAAGACCATACAGGACAGATGCCTCCCCCTTCCCCCCTAGGTAACCCGTTTTCCCTCTGAACCCTTTATTCCACTTGCGTTTGTGTTGTGACATTCTGGGGTATTCTTCCTGCAGAGTGAACTCTTGTGGTTTCATATTTCTTCCATTCATGTTCTTCAGTTTCCCTGACACTCTTACACTGGAAATTCAAACAAGGTTTAATTTTTACTCCTATTCCTTTTATTACTTTATGGTTCTTGGTTTACTTCATTTTTTCTTCTCCAGATGCATTGTTGGAAAAGGGTGGGGTAATTATAGGCAAGAAGGGCCCTGCTGTAACCCTGAGCCCTTGTCGTCAGTGTCATCTGGGCTTTTGCTTCAGCTTTGCTCTCTCTACCTGTGAAAGCTCAGCACACACTGTGGGAAAAGTGAACTCCATGCCTTTTTTTCTTTTCTTTTTTTTTTTTTTTTTTTTTTTGAAACAAGGTCTCCCTATACATTTCAAGCTGGCCTTGAATGCACAGCGATCCTTCTGCCACAGCCTCCCAAGTGCTGGGATTATAGGCATGTATCATCATGCCTGGCTACGTACCATTCTAAAGCAGTGTACAAGGCAAGGTTTGACGTTCTTTTTTTTCTCTTTAACCATGAGTGGTACAACTCAGACTCTGGGGATTCAGAATTAACATCCTTACCCATGAGCTTAGTGACAGCAGAGAGTTTTACCTGCTCTGCTGTGCCACATCCACGGGAGCCTTTCAAGCAGCCTGCCTTTGGTCTCGGTGGAGTCTCTTGCCCCAGTGTCACTGGGGAAGACCAAGTCCTCAAAGACTGGGATGCACGGCAGTCAGCACTTGGCCCCCAGGGCATTTTGCTTGTTTTTTTGGCGGCTTTTTTGAGTTGGCTTACGCAGAACTCTTCTGAACAGTAAAGACCACATGCTTCCTACTGAACTTTATTTCCAGTTCACATACTAGCCAGAAGAGGGTATTCCAAGAAGATTTCAGCAGAGGAACTGGAACAAAGATTAAGATAGCTTTCCAGCCTCTAGCTCCAATTTCCTTGGCGACTGCAGTGTTTCGCTCCCTTAGCTGAGCCTCGGGTCCAGTTCTTCTCTGGCTGCAGAAGACTCGGGAGAGGCAGGACTCACGCTTGACAGCCTTGTTCTCACTCACATCCCTGGCACCCAGGCTGAGCACAGCTTGGCCTTGCTGAGGGCCAGCTAGGAGTAGCAGGCTCATGTACTCACACTGAGAAGAGGGGAACTGTGCTGACCAGGCTGTTTCCACTGCACCTGTGGGCCGAGGCAAACAGTGCTTCCTGGGCTCTTTGGTTTGGTTTCGAGGGGAACGTGAACTTTTTAATTTTTAAATTATAATCTCATTCCAAAAAGTTGCAAAAATAGGACAAAGAATTTCCCAGATCCCTTTTACCTAGATTTCCTTGTTCACATTTATCACGTGTTTTATTAGCTGTTGGCTCTTCCTTCTCCGTACAGATAAATAAATCTTTTTGTGAACAAATTGCAAACACGTTGCCCCTTACCCAAAATATTTCAAGATATAGTTTCCTTGGCTTTCTTTTGGTACCGGAAATTGAACTCAGGACCTTGTGCTTGCCAGGCAGGTGCTTGTGCCACTGAGCTATACCCCTGGCCCTTCTAGATATAGTTTTGTTGTTGTTGTTGTTGTTGTTGTTTTCTGGTACCGGAAATTGAACTCAGGACCTCGCACTTGCCAGGCAGCAGGATATAGTTTTAAAAGTAAGGCTATTGTGTAACTAACTATAGTACAGTTACCAAAATCAATGACAACATTGAAAAATACCATTATCTTTTTTTTTTTTTTTTGTCTTTTTGAGACATATCTAGCCCAAGCTGACATCAAACTCAAGGTGATCCATTTTCTTCAGCCTCCCAAGTGCAAGGATTACAGGTGTACACCCCCACATCTGACAATTTTTTTTTTAAAGCACACAAAAAATACTGTATTTTCCATAAATATATTTGGAAAAAAGGTTCTCAACCGTGTCCCAACCTATTAGCTCCTATATCTGTTAACTTTTTTCTAAAGAAAAATGATGTTGGTGTCCTTACCTGTAAACAGGACCAGTGTGCTGGGCCATTATTGCTGTACCTTGGAAATAAAGGCTGCACCTGGGACCAGGTCGTGGGATTCTTAGAGGACTCCACTGGGCAAGAGGCAGCAACCAAAAGTCAAACAAATGAAACAGGCACCTACAGCAGTCAGCATCACACTAGCAGGAATAAGGTGCCTCAGCCAGGCCCTTACAGAAAGTGGATGAGAGGGACGGGAGGGCCCACAAAACTTCATGTCTGGGTCCTCATCAAAAGACTGCTGGTCTAAGGACAGAATATGTTTGCCTGGGTTGTCAGCCACACTCTACCATAAGGTAGACAAGAAGCAGGACAAGGCCACGAGCTACAGGGGGCCTTCTGGCCCCTCAGGGGTCCTGGACTAGTGACAGTCCTCCTAGACTAGTGACAGTCCTCCCATGTTGTCGGACGGTGGTGGGACACCCGAGATCCTGGCAAGGAGCACTCAGATGGAGCGAGCCTGGTCCTATGTAATAGCCAAGTGAGCCCCGCACACCCTCCTGTCCTTGCTGCTCTCCTGGCTCTCAGCTCCTGCTCAGTGGGATGCTGGATAGATGTCCATGAGCTATCTGGGCAGGCAGCGTGTGCATCAGCCTCGAGGAAGCATGGTTACCAATCCACACTCTGAGGGTACAAGTCAGTTTCACACTTGGCTTGTGCAGCGTCTGCTCTATGAACCTGGCACTCAAAGGCAAGGTGTTCACTGAGGTGGGACCAAGTAAAACGGTGCAAATACTTGAGGTTCCACAGGTTCTAGCGGAAGGGGCTGCACCTATGGGCATCCATGGGCATGTTGTGCAGACATGCACTTACGTGGAACTCCACCCAGCCCTCAGCATAGTCCTTGTGGTACTTGGATCCCTTTGTTCCTCTTGAGGCTGCTACTGCCTTCTTGTGTCTCACAAACCTGTCCTCAGCCTGAAAGAATATGCATGTAACGTCAGCATAGGTGCAGAGGAGGTTGCATGTAGGGGTTGGAAGTGCAGTGGGATGTGACCCCAGTACGTGATACCCGGCACCACCTGCTTCTTGCTGCCTTGAGCCTCCTCTTTGGGTTCCTCCTGCTCCTCCATGTCTGAGGAGCAGGAGCTGCTGCCGGTAACACCGTATGCCAAAAGTACCATTATTTAACCCACATATTTTACTGAGATTTCACCATTTATCCTAGTAATTTCTATTATAGAAAAAGGAAATGGGCTGGGCATGGTAGCAAAAGCCTATAATCTCAGCACTCAGGGTGAGGCAGGAGGATTGCCATGATGCAGGAAGCCAGCCTGAGCTACATAGTAAGACCCTGTCTCAAAAAAAGAACGAAAGAAATAAAGAGAAATTCATGCATTTCCTATTCCTACTATCTCTTTAGCCTCTTTTAACCTTTATATTTTCCATCAGGTCAGCTGTGTTGTTACATTTCCCTACATACTTTGGGTTGATCTGGTGTTTCCTCATAGAGGATTCGGGTTTGTGCACTGTTGATAGGAGTTCACTGGCACACTTCAGAGCTGTTGTCAGCATTTCATCTCAGGAGGTGTGTCTGTCCCACAGTTCTGTGGCCAGTGGACACTAACTGTGATGGCTTGGCTAAAGTGTCTGTAGGTTCCCCTAAGGTTGTAAAGTTGATGGCTAGTGGCTCTTTGCTGTGTGCCAGGTGGTGTTAGCAGTATGTGCATCTTGACAGGTGTTAGCAATGTGTTCCTAACTCATTTCTTTGGATGCCTTCTCTGAAAATCTGTTGTCAACCTTCTTCCTAACCTCTTGTCATGAGGATGCACGCTATATTCCAGTGCACCTCCCCTTTCCTCTCCTAGGCATGCCAGATGAGCAGAGGGAAGGGCTCCAGGAAGAGCTCATCGACATCATCCTCCTCATCCTGGAGCGGAACCCTCAATTGCACTACTACCAGGGCTACCATGATATTGTGGTCACCTTTCTGCTGGTGGTAGGCGAGAAGCTGGCAACGTCCTTGGTAGAAAAGTTATCTACCCACCACCTCAGGTACCTGTGCAGAGGGCCTCATGGGATGGAATCACTCCCCCCAGCCCCTTAGGACAGCTGCTAGCCCATCTTCTAGGCAGTTTCTTCAGTGGTTTGAGCCCACTCAGCCCACAGCCGTGATCTAGCATTTGATCTGACCAAGCTCACCGAATTGCCTCCCTGCAGGGATTTCATGGATTCCACAATGGACAACACCAAGCACATATTAAACTACCTGATGCCCATCATTGACCAGGTGAATCCAGAACTCCATGACTTCATGCAGAGGTATGTGGGGATTTATGTTTACACACACATGGACATATTCTCCCTCACTCACTCCTGCCTCACAGATCTCACTCAGTCCTCACTATCTGGTGCTGATCAGTGTTCAGTTCTTCTGAGTTATCCTTGCCAGTCATGTGTGATCTGTGTTGCTCAGTTTTCTGCACAATCTTGGAGCACTTTTTGCGGTGCAAAGATGATACAGCTCGTACCTTGAAGACTTCACATGTGATGGGGAGAGGTGATGAAATGATGTTGCCAGTATAGACTTTGAGGTTCTTGCTTAAGAGAAATACAGAGTCCTAGGGATTGAGAGGAGAGGAGGACAAGGCCATTGAGGACAAGGCCATCACGGATGAGGACATCTGTGGGTGGTTTTATTTCCCAAGAATCAAGGAAAAGTATTTCTTTGCATATGCCATTGATTTTTAAATTTAAATAATGACTGTTTTAAGGCAGCTCAAGCTATCGTGTTAACTGAAAAATTAACACAGCTGTGTACTTTATGCCTGAGAATGTGTGTCTGTGCCCTCTCAAGGTTAAGTGTCTCAGAAAGCCACCCTGGTATACTTCTCTGAGAATAGCTCCTTATCCCAAAGTTGACATCTATTGAGCATTAGGAGATAGGATATTGTTTTGATATTAGTGTCATGGCACATTTTAAAGACTTTGTCGGGGGGAACAGGGGTTAAGACAGGATCTCACGTTGTAATACAGGCTGCCTTGAACTCACTGTGTAGCCCAGGCTGGCCTCAAACACATGGTGATCCTTCTGCCTCAGCCTCCTGCGTGCTAGGATTACACGCGTGTGCTGGCTTCAAGACTATATTTTATGAGAAGATGCTAACTTTGTAGGTAGTCAGATTTTCCAGAAAGTGTATTTCCCAAATGATTCTCTCTCACCAGTTCTGTGGCCAGAAGCCCAGAGAAGGGGCCGGGATGTCTTGGCAGGGAACCTAACATCCGGGTTTCTTTTACTCCTAGTGCTGAGGTGGGGACCATTTTTGCCCTCAGCTGGCTCATCACTTGGTTTGGGCATGTCCTGTCTGACTTCAGGCACGTGGTGCGGTTATACGACTTCTTCCTGGCCTGTCACCCGCTGATGCCCATTTACTTCGCAGCTGTGGTAGGTATAGGCCATGAGCCAGCAACTAGACTCACCATCTCAGGCCAGGAATACAGCTCAGTGGCTCAGTGCCTGCCTGGCAAGCGCAAGGTTGTGAGTTAAATTTCCGGAACCAAAAAAAATTTACTCACACCCTTCCAGCTTGTTCTTTTCTTGAAGGGAAACCTGGTAGTTATGAAAACACGCAAAAGATGGCATCTCCAAGCTTGGTGTTCCTTGGCACCATGTGCACAGTGTTAATGAGGATGGCAGAAAAAACTATTGGGAAATGGCTGGTTAAACACATTTTTGTCTTTTGGATTTCCCTATGCAGTTTAGGCTGGCCTTGAACTTAAACTTTCAGGCTCGCCTGAAACTTGTAGTGATCCTCCTGCCTCAGTCTTCCAAGTGCTGGGATTATAGGTGTGCACCACTACACCTGGCACTCTTTTTTCTCTTTCTTTCTTTTTTTTTTTTTTTTTTTTTTTTGTTTGGTTGGTTGGTAGGTTGGTTTTGGGGTTTTTTTTGAACTGGGAATTGAACTCAAGATCTCGCACTTGCCAGGCAGGCACTGTGCCACTGAGCTATATCCTTGATGCTTTTTTTCTTTCTTTTCTTTCTTTTCCTTCTTTCTTTTCTTTTTTGTTTTTGTTGTTTTTGTTTCTGTTTTTTTTGAGACAGGGTCTCACTAGGTAGCCCAGGCTGGCTTTGAACTCATGGAGCATGGTGATCTTCCTGCCTTAGCCTGTCCAAGACTAGGATTGCAAGCATGTGCCACCATCCCAGCTTAAACAGATTTCTTTACTGTGCCACTGTGCACTCTGAATACACAGCCAGTGTTCCTGCTGATGCCTCCTGGCCCTGTGCTCTGCGGCGCACATGGTTAGAGAGTCCGTGGCACACACTTCATGAGGTGGAGGAAAGGGGATCAGTGCTCGGCCCAACAGTGAGGTGGCTGTGGCAGTGGTGGGGATTCCAGTGATCAGAAGGCCTGGTGGCACGGAGGCATATCCTAGAAAGATCTCCACAGGTCCCTTCTCGAGCTCTGGCTTTGTGACCAGCAGTCAGAAGCAAGATGTTTAAAGGGAACAGGAAGACTCTTCTCTCCTGTTTTGGACTATGCTGTACTGGAGCTCTGGGAATCTCCCAGGAATCGTTCTGCTTTTCTTCCTAAAAGAATCTGCTTTATTTCTTTGAAGAGCTGAGGGACACTTGAGCAGACAGATGTGCCTTTCATATCAGGGTGGCAGTCTGCCCGTAGCAGGGGAGGCCAGCCCCATGGGAACAGCTCTGAGAGTCTCGTGTTCCTCCCTGGATGGATACAGGTTTGCTGGACATGTGGGCTTTCTCTCAGCTCCCCCACAAGAGGCTGATCTGTGTCTGCTGTCTGATGCAAGGTCTCCCTCCCTACAGATCGTATTGTACCGTGAGCAGGAAGTCCTGGACTGTGACTGTGACATGGCCTCAGTCCACCACCTGTTGTCCCAGATTCCTCAGGACTTGCCCTACGAGACACTGATCAGCAGGGCAGGGGACCTCTTTGTTCAGTTTCCCCCTTCTGAGCTCACACGAGAGGCGGCTGCCCAGCAACAAGCCGAGAGGTAAGTGGGTACAGGGTGTGTGACCAGGCGGCACAAGGGGCTCCAGTCTGGTGGGCATGGGGCTTGGCCCTGAGTTTGCTGGAGCAGAATGCTTGAGCATGGACAGCCCTGCCCTCAGCCTCCTGAGCAGGCACATTGCTCCTGTTCTTCTCTCACACCGTCCTACTTCCGCCTCCCTCCCTGCAGAACGGCAGCCTCTACCTTCAAAGACTTTGAGCTGGCATCAGCTCAGCAGAGGCCAGACATGGTGCTTCGGCAGCGGTTTCGGGGACTTCTGCGGCCCGAGGCTCGAACAAAGGATGTCCTGACCAAACCAAGGACCAACCGCTTTGTGAAACTGGCAGTGATGGGACTGACCGTGGCACTTGGAGCAGCCGCCCTGGCGGTGGTGAAAAGTGCCCTGGAGTGGGCCCCGAAGTTCCAGCTCCAGCTATTCCCCTGAGTGCAGCCACACCGGGCCACTTCTCCTCACAGTGCATCCAGGCCTTCCCCTTGCATGGAAGGACTGAGATGGAGGAGTTTCTTTGATTAAAGGGTTTCAGCTAAGGGTGTGTTTTTTCCACCACCCTTTCCTGTCCGTCTGTGTGGCTGTGGCCGGGGGTGCAGCAGAGCCGGCTGACACTGTGGGCCACAGGCTGGATGCATCACTCCACACACCTGAGCTCCGCTGTGGGATGTGGGCTTTCAGCTGCCAGATGCTTGGGAGCCCCTGGGCCCACACTTTGGGTGCCCACAGGAAGGAAAGGGTCACTGCTGAAGAAGTCAGGCCTCAGAGGAGAGTGAGAGGGCAGAGGACTCCAGCTGGGAGCCAGATGGGCCTTGTCAAGAGCACCTCTGTTAGCTGACCAGAAATCAGACACAAACTAAATCATTGGATAAGTCCTACCTGGCTTCACTAGAAATCACATGTCTGTACTGGACATTTGCAGTACGGCAGAAAGGAATATTCCTAAAGTGGTTTCCCTGCCTTCTACCCACTATCCCATTCCCTTGTACAAGAGATACCATTTATAGAAGACACTTTCATAACTAGTTTTAGAATCATATACACTTAATATGTAAGGTATTCTCACTTTAATAAGTTCCTTTATGGAAAAAAATAGCCCTCATCAGAAAGATGCTTCTAAGCATCCGTGCTTCTAAGTTTATTTTCTACTCAGCTCTTTAACATTTCACATTTGCCAGCAATGCTGTTTGTAAACAGACTCACACTTCCAAAGTGCCCACTCCTAGCCACCTTCCCTTCCTTCCTGGTTAGCATAAATCTCCAGTCTCCTCCCAGCAAGGCCTACTCTGCCTTGGCATTGTCTTGGTTTGACTGGTCCTCAATGGCCCATCTCTGCCTCGATGGAAAACGTCAGTGGAAACTAGCTGACCCTGAAAGGGAACAGCGCAGCCTGAGGAGCGTGGCAGGAGCCAGCAACAGCAGGCCTTCCCCAGGCCGCTCCGAGGACCTGCAGGCCTTGGGAGCAAGGGCAAGTCTCGGACCTGAAACAGCTTTCCTGTAAGTGAAGCCAGGTTGGTTTTATAACTTGGGCTTGAAAATAGAAAGTGCCTTTTGCTGCTTTAGAGAATTGGAGGGTGTAGTGCAAAGCAGCCATGTGCTTTCCTCCTGGTCATCCTGCCACTCTTCTTTCATGGCGGGCGCCCTCTCCAGGCAGACGTGCTGGAAGCGCTCCTCCCCACGCCCCTGTGCCTGTGTGCAGGGTGGGGTCCCCGGCTGCTTGGCAGAGGTGTCTGCATGGTAAACTAAGCACTTCAGACCCAGACAAGCTCACCATGGCCATCACCACAGCAGGAGCCCCACCTGAGGAGGGGACCCAGGGGGATTAACTCGGTGATAGCTTCATCAGGACAGCAGAACATTCTGCTGGGATCCAGAGGTGACAGGGTGGCAGATGAGCCCAGTCCTGTCTCCCAGCAAGTGTGTCCCGGCGTCTACAAAGGACGCAGCATCTGTTCCTCTGGCCATAAGTACTCACACCTGCGTATAATCTGAAGGCATCATGGTGTGGAAGGGGAGGTGCTGTGGCCCAAGGAGAAAATTCATGTGGTAGCTTTGCTCACACCAGGATTCTCGTCTGCTACTGAGAAGAAAGCATCTATTTACCTTCAGGTGATTTACTTATTCTGTAAAGAATATGTGTAAATACTTTGTACAGAGCCCTGTATGAAATAAACAGCCATATATGGTTACAAATCCCATCTCGTTCTGTCTGCTCGCCACTTACTGGGAGTGGACTCAGGCCTGAGACCTCCATCCTGATGCTCCTCAGGGCCCCCCAGGCCCAGGCCCTTACCCCAGGAGACTTGGGCCTAACCTGCAGACTTCTGTGTCTCCTGCAGGAAGTGCAGCCTGCACTAGCTACTGTAAGCACTGCTATAGCTACAAGGCACAAATGTGCAGGACTCAGCTGCACAGGCTGCTGTCGTTTTGGAACTCAAATCCCAGCCTGCTCTGAAGGCAGCACCCCATGCGGCGGTGCTGAGCACTGGGCCTGCCTCGCTTTTGTCAGTAGAAGCACACCATGGTGCTTCATGCCTGTCACCTCACCTGCAAGGGGCCCTGTTGAGTCAGCATGCATGATGTCTGGGGTGATGTTAATGTTTCCCTGGGCCAGAGGAGATTGGAGGCCCAAGGCAGAGCCCCCGGAACTTGGCTCCTCATGTCCCACCATCAGAAGCTACCAGCCCAGGCCGCCCAGTTGATGGGAGAACTGGCACACACAGCTTCCAGGGACAGCCCCTGCCTCGTGCACCTCCCAGAGAACGCAGTGAAGAGCAGTTTGGCAAGTTCGGGGCAGTGTCATTGGAGCTGACAGCCACCTGTAAAGAATAAGTATTAAGTTTGGTGACCGGGGAACTAAAGGACAGGTGTGAGTGGCATCGAAGAAATCTTGGTCTTTGGTCCAGGTTCCTGACACAGGATTCCTAAAACACTTTTTTTTTCTTTTTTTTTTTTTTGGTTTTGGTTTTTTCTCCGGTACCGGGAACCGAACTCACAACCTTGCGCTTGCCAGGCAGGCGCTTTTGCCGCTGAGCTAAATCCCCAGCCCCCTAAAACACTTTGAAAAAACACAAGGACTAGAAGATAACAGAAGTTACCTTTTCAAAAAAAAGTTATCTTTTCAATGATCCGTTTTGATCCCACCTGCAGTCACACTGAGGTAACTTACTCCAAGGTAACTGGATGGAACTGACTGTTCACCAGAAGGACCAACCGATTCACGGCCTAGGGTGGGGACCCTGGAGATGGAGTACAGTGAAAGTGCGGTGAGGCCCGGAGCTGCTGGCAGGGCGGGTTCCAGGCAGAGTCTGGCTGCTCCTCCCCAGCTGTCCCTGTACCGAGCCAAACTTCAGTGTTCTCCTGAGTCCTGTGTCATCCCAGCAAGTGACAGCCTGAGTGGGTAGACTCTGGGGGCCCCTGAATCCGTTCTTGGCTAGGCAGAAGTGGGAGCAGCCTGGGCACCCATCTGCAGCTGGGGTCTGGACAGCAGCCTTTGGAACTGAGCCCTTCAACTTGTAGGACTGCCGCGAACTCCAGGTAGTTTTGGAGATGAATTACTAGAGCCCAATGGGTGTCAGAAAACGCCATATGATGCACACGGCTGCGGGGAACACAGGCAGTGTAAAAATAGCAGCTGACCAAAGAGTTGGGCTGTGGGGACAGCAAAGCCCAGGAGGCCTGGGCTCGTCTGTGGAGAGGTGTGGGCAGCAGTGGCAGCATACTTGTGCCAGTGCTGGAGACCAAGGCACTCCCCCGCTAATGCCTTCTCTGCTGTCTGCCTGCGGTGCCTGGGGTCAGCTTTTAAGTCTTCACATCCAAACACAAGTTGGTGGCAGCCCGCCTGTCCCTGAAACCACACACTGTGGCGTCCAGATCCTGAGGCAGACCTTGAACAGCAGAGGTGCCTCTGCTGTGATGCTCAGTGTGGTGCAGACTGTGTGGGCAGCAGATGCCAGGTCTTGGCAAAGGGCAGGGGCAGGGCCACACTGCTGCTTCAGTCTCTTCACCAGCAGAGTGGGTGTAGGCACTCTGCCATCTTGCAGAGCTAGGATACAGTTCACCCCTCAATCACAGCAGCTTCATCTATTCTTCCATTATCCTTGCCCCTGGTGCCCACTGAGAGGTCCAAGGGAACAGCCAGACTTTCTGACCAGTCTATCACTGCAGTCCTAGCTCCCTGCTGAGTCCAGACTGCCTGCAGAATGCCTGCTGGGCAACCACTGCCTAAGAGCAACCTGCCCCTGATGCTGGACCGGGGGGCGGGGGGGGGGTACAGTGGTCCCAGGGCCAGCAGACCATCTTCCTGATACCGTTCCAGAGTTCAGTACCTGCCTGTGTGTATTTCAGGCCCATGACGTTCACACCCTCTCAAGGACATCACATGCAGCCCTTCCTGGAAAACCATTTTAATGCGCTTACACAGATGAGATGGGCCGCAGCACACACAGCGGGCTGTGCGCTCACACATCTGGTCTTCCCCACTCTGAGCAGGTCCGCAGCAGCAAGAGGCGCCAGGCCTCTGACAGTGCAGACAGCAAGGTCACCTGGAAGCCAGCAGGGGTGGTGAGGCTGCTGTGCTGGGGGAGAGCGGGCACGGGCCATGGGGCAGTGTAGAGGCTCAGGTGGTGGCAGAGGCTTGGGCCAGCACGGCCTGTGGCCAGGGCTGTTTAAGGGTGGAGTCTGGCAGAGGTCAGAGCCTCAGAGAAGGTCTGTTGGCAGCCCCAAGGGACAGCACAGGCATGAGGCAGATGTGACAGGACAGCTGCAGGCACAGGCAGCCACCGCACGGGGCGGGGGAACTTGGCCTGGCCAATCACAGGGATGTTGCACAAGTCAGAAACCAGAGCCAGTGCCCCAGGCCCAGCCCTGCCCACTCCTGCCGACGAATGGGGGTCTGTGTGGGGACCCAGGCCTCAGCTCAGTGGCAGTTCTGACAGCTTGGGTGGCAAGGAATTCCATTCACTCGGCAGCGGCAGCCCCCACTGGTGTCCCCTGGGCCCTAGAGGGGAGGAGGAGGAAAAGGGCATTAGGCTGGTGAGGTCAAACCACACGTGTCACTGTCACTCGGTCACTAAGCACGTCCTGCCACTCTGGGCTGTGGCCTCCTTGCCCTTGGGGAGGCAGTGGAAAGGCCTCTCTGGGCCCCTGCAGCACAGGCCCTGAGCGGGCGTTGGGGGCAGCGGCGCTATGTTACACATCAGCACAGCATTCCTGCTCCCCCATGTCTCCAGGTTTACCTGCCTGTGACACAAGCCCCCGGCTCCAGGAACACTCCATAGATAGGGACAGCGGCCTTCCGTGAGTGCTCACCACACCCAGGCCTCTGATGAGCACTTCTGCACCTTTCCATTCAGCACTGCTGTCATGCCCATCTCACAGAGGGAAAAAACAGCCTTCGAGGTGGCCAGTGTGTGCCAAGCCAGGAACGACTCCACCTGCAACTCCAGACTGCACTTTGTGGCTGTCCTTTCCCTGTGCGGGCCTCAAGTGCAGCCAGGGACAGGGCAAGCGAGCACAATCCTGACACAACTGGATTTGTGGATCCACATTACTCTCACTTGCCTTGCACTCCTATGGTCTTTTTGTTTTGTTGCATTGCTAGGGATGAACCTAAGGCCTTGTGCACACAGGGAAGCCCCTGTCACTGAGCTGTTCTCTGAGTGCCCCCCACCACCACCACTTTTTGTCTTTTTGAGACAGGGTCTTGTTATGCAGTTCAGGCTGGCCTTCAGCTCTTTGTAGCCCAGGCTGGTCTCAAGACGCGCAATGATCTGCCTGCCTCAGCCTCCCGAGTGCTGGGATTACAGGCCTGTGCCACCACACCTCCTAGCTCTTTTGATGCTTTTCAAACCGTTAAAAGATGTTAATAAAGCCTGGCATGGCAGCAGAGGATAACCCTAGCTACTCAGGAGGCTGAAGCAGGAGGATCATACACTGCAGGCCACCCTGGGCAGCTAGTGAGACCCAGTCTCAGAATTAAAAAGAAAAAGGGCTGGAGATGTAGCTCCATGACAAGGTGGCCCTGAGTTCCCCAGTACCAAGGGGAAAGATGTAAACAAATTCCTGCCACAGAACTGCACAAACTAAGTGTGGGGCTGAACCTGGCCCCTGATGCCGGCTACTGCAAGACCCCTCTGTGGCAAAGCCCATCCACCCCAAGCTGTGCTCCCGAGGACTCACCCCGGGGCCCCAGCGCGGGCCCTTGGTGACCCAGCAGATCTCGGTGTGGCAGACAGTGCAGCGGATCCAGTCACAGCCGTCCTTCTTCTGTACCACGATCCGGCACCGCGGGCAATGCATGGCCTCGCCCTGCTGCAGCATCACCTGGGGGCGAGGGCAGCTCAGTGTGGAGCCACCCTGCTCCCATCCGCCCCTCCGGTCCTCGGTGTGCAGCTGCTGCACAGGGCCTGTCCTGCACTCAGACCTCCCCGCTCCTCACCCAATGCCACCTCCAGACAGGAGTGCAGACAGAGATGTCCAAGACCCAAGGATGTGTAACGTAAATCTCTTTCTCCAAATCCCCCAGAGCTCAGGCCCCTGGCCCTGGGTCTGACCCTGCCTCACCTGCAGCATCTCTGTGGTCTGCCGGGCAGCCAGGTCGTTCTGAGCCCGCAGTGCCAGGTCATCCTGATACTCCTTGCAGTTCATGCGCTCATGGATGGCCTGCAGGGTGACAGGGTTCCCCAGGGGTCTGAGAAGCTGGGAGGGCTGGGGTGGAACAGCCATTAGCACAGGGATTCAAAGCCTCTGGATGTACAGGACCCGGACGGAGGCCCGGGAGATGAAGCCAAGTCATCCTATGATGACACATGCTATCTGACTTAAGCCCCAGGCACCTCTCCCCAGGCTGCAGCTTCTCTCCCCCACCTCCAGACTGCCTGCCCACCCCATACCTTCATGGGAAATGTCTGAGGTCGTTATGGCAGGGCCGGACCCAGGAAACGATCACACAGGGCTCACTCTGGATTTGGAATCAGAACTGAGCTCAGGACAGGAGTTGAGTGAGGCCAGGATCCAGGCTCAGGGCTCTGTACAAAGCCTGGACTCAGTTCAGCATCTAGCCTCGGTGTGAGGCCAGCTTAAGGACTTGGGTGAGGTCAGGGTTCAGTATGGAACCAGAATTCAGTCTGTGACTGGGCCAGACTTGGGCTCAGTTTGGAGCTGGGATTAGTGCTCAGTACTGGGCCAGGCCAGTACAAGGTTTAGCTCTGGCAGGGGCAAATCCAGAATCTTCTCTACAGTGTCAATGCCACTTCAGGGCCAAGCCAGGCTCCCCCTGGTATGTGCCTCTGAGTCTGACCCTCAGACTGATACCACAGCTCCCTTCCCAGGGAGCAAGCAGAGGGCCAAGCCGGGGCTGATGGCATATTCCTGTAATCCCAGCACTTGGTAGGCTGAAGCAGGAGGATCAGTGTGAGTTCAAGGCCAACCTGAACTACATAGTGAGACCCTTCTCAAAAAACGAAAGAAAAAAAGGCACTGAGGGCCTTACAGGCCCAAGTGCCAGGTTGTGTGGGCCTTGGCCCCACCTTGCAGAGCAGGCAGTTGACACGGAAACACACAGGGCAGGTGAACTCATTGACATCATCCTCAAAGAAGCACCAGCCCTTGCAGTCTGGGGTCTTGCAGTGGTAGCTGAAAGCACTGCGGTTTTCTGCGATGGAGATGCTCAGGTCCAAGAAGCGCTGGTAATCCTCGGGGGACAGGAGCTGCCAACAGCCCAGATCCTTGTTGCTCAGGATGCAGAGACGACAAATACCCCTCCACCCGCATCAGCACATGTTCCCCAGCCGCCCCCAGCCTGAACTCCAGCCCAGTCCCCGGCTCTCTGTTCAGACCCTGCTAGTGTTTAAAAACGGCACTCAAAGGGCAGATACAAAGAGCTTTGAGGACAGATGGTGGTTTTCGCTACACAGCAATGTGGATGTTTTCCATGCCACAGAATTGTGCAATTAAAGGTTATTAGAATGGTAAATTTCAGGCTATATATATTTTACAATAATAAAATTGGACAAAAATACTGCAATGATAGAGATGATACGGGATCCTGGTACATCACACTCTGAGAAAACGGCATGGCAACGACATCTCCACTATTCCAAATGCATCAGAGCCTTGGTACCCATCACACCTGTGCAAGTTTATCCTGCAAAGCTGCACGTATGTAAGAGGCACCAGCACAAGGTTCTGTAAAATGTCACTTACAAACCAAGGCAGAGGACTTGCTAAGGGAAGAGGCACATGGGTTACGATGCCACAGATTGAAAATGTTTTAGAAAGATTCTATAGCGAACCAACAAAAACTGGTGTGGCCACGCAGGCTGGGAAGTGAAAGTCACGCCTTTGTTCTGATTCTAATTGGGCGGTGGCGCCATAAGTTCATCTGGCAGAATTCAAACTGCACGCTGACCTGGCACATTTTATTGTGTGCAAAGTATATGTCCACAAAGGAGGCCTTTTAAGAAAATCATGTCTGCCCCCAAACATTGAAGGAAACAGGACAGGATGCAAATGCCTACAGATCTGTGGTGAGTTTCTCTTTCATTTCTGGGCTGTTTCTACCTCCACAACCTCCACACCCCGCTTCACTGGTCTGTGTCTCTTTCTGCTGCCCTTTCCGTGAGGCTGAGCTCAGCACCCAGAAGCCTCAGTCTGAACTCCGCCTGTCACAAGCCCTCAGGTAGGGCACCTTCCGCGGGAACCTCTGGGGTGCCTGTGCCCAGCACAGATGGAAAGATGCAGTGTCAGGCCTGGCTGCCCACAGCTGCGCTGCTCTGAAGCCCTACAGCCAGATGAAAACCCCATCGGCCTCCTTCTCCTAAGCAGCCACAGGAGAGAGGCTGGAGAGAGGGGAACAGGTCTGTGCGCGTTTCTGCCGGGCATCCCATCTCCACGTTTTGGCCTAGAAACCTACAATTCCAGGAAAGCCATTTCCCAGCAGCTGATGTCTGGAATCCCTCCACCAATCCAAGAAACAGATGGGGAAAAGGAGCCTCGGAAAAGCCCAAGAATCTGCTCAAGTCGCCAGCTGTCAGGGCGGCAGGCGCCTGGTCATTTACCAGCAGCACACGCAGATACACGTGGATGGCCCCAAAGCAGACTGTTGTTCACATCCCCTCCCACATGGGCTCTGGCCCACACATGTGGAGATGGCAGCACACAAGGCAGAGCCTTGAAAAGTGTGCCTGCCCAGAGCTCCCAAAGCCCTGAGACCATCATCACCAGGAGAGCCAGGCCTGGAGTGGATCAAAGCAGGAGGCGGCCCCAGCCATGCCACAGACCACAGGGACCATCAGTGTGACCTACTGCTAAGATCGGAAGCACCCAGTCAAGACCAGACAGAATTACTGACTTCCAGGTCCCTGAGCTGAGCTGTTTAAAGCCTGGTGTGATTTGTTTCCCGGCAAAAGCTAACTGACACAAGGGCTTTCCACGTGTCCAGCTACTCTATCATCTTCACGCACATCCTCTCCCGCAATCTGTGCGGCCCCTGAGACAGAACTGTCACTGTGGCCCTGAGGGAGATGCAGAAGGGAGGGAGTGTTTGACGTGCAGCCACACCCAGCGCTCCCTACTCTCTCCCACTCTGCTGTTTCCATCAGGAAGGAAACCACTAAGCTAAAGCAGCCACTAAGTTTCAGCCGCTCCCCCAAGCCCTGTGCTGCTGGGCCCAACACCCCGCATGGGGAGGCTTCTGCCAGGCACTTTCAGTCGGACCCCACACTCCAGCGGGCACTGCCTCTCCTCACCGCCCGGATCTCCCTCTCCAGCAGCTTGCCCGGGCATGAGTAGGTATCATCAATGAAGGGGCAGGAGACCTCTGCCTCCTGGCTGTTGCGGATGGTGCCCTGCAGGCACTCCCTGGGGAGAGGAAGACAAGGTCAGCCACACCCCACCCACAGGACCACAGGGTCCTCGCTAGCCACACTCCCACTCTGCTCTCCACAACTCACCAGGGACCCACCACTGTGCTTTGCTGGTCCCTGCTACTCTGGCCCAGGCCCCCTTCAACCTCCCCAGGGCCTCCAAGAACCCATCTCCCGGGCTCCCCGCCACCCTCTAGACCCTGGAGCACACTCTGTACTCAGCCACTTCCCTCCCCAGAACCTCCTGCCCTATCCAGAGCAAACCTGAACCCTCAGTGCCATCAGGAGAGTCTCTAAGACCCTCCCACCAACCCCCAAGGGACCTCCCTGGTCTCTCCAAACAGGCCAAACCTGAGGCCTCTGCTCCAGTGCAGCCTGCTCAGGGACACTGGACCCCTTCACCGCAGGACTCAGATCCCACTGTCACTCGGCAGTTCACAAAATGTATAGGACCCACCACTGAGTGGTCAGCCATGAACCGGCCTCCCGCACAGGGCCAGCTAGCTCCAGTGTCAGTGTGGGGAGTGAACACATCTTCCCAGCCCGGGGTTCAGGGCCACCACGAGGCTGGGGTTGAGGGGGAGACCGTCCCCCATCAGGGTGGGCTTGGGGCAGGCTGCAGGGCCAGGGCTCCAGTCACTCCCCACCCACCGAAGAGTAGAGACCAAGAGGGGACCCTCTGGAGCCCAAAGGCCTGAGCTCATGTCTAGACCTCTTGTGAGCTGTGTGACCTCAGCTTCTAAGACTCCCTTTCCTCAACAGACAGGAGACGGGCTCCAAGGCTTCTGTGGGCATCGGTGGGGTGAGGTGTAAGAGCACAGGCCTGCGTGGGGGGTGGGGCCGCACCTGCAGAAGGTGTGCAGACACTCCCGCAGCACCACTGCCTCGCCGGGCGCCAGCGCTGCGTAGCACACGGGGCACTCGGCAGGCTCAGCGTTCAGCACCAGGCTCCTCTGCTCCAGCTGCACGTGCTGTAGGTAGTTCCCCTCCTGCTGCTGCTGCTTCCGCTGGGCACAGGTGGGGGCCACCAGGAGGTCAGGGTCTGGGGTGAGGCCAGGAGGGGGCCCAGCCCTCAGGGCGGTGGCCAGGGTGTCAAGGGCCCAGAAGCCAGGTGATGGGCTACGGTGGTAGGGAGGTCCAAGGGGAGGGTCTAAGACAGGGGGTGTGGAAGCAGGGACTGCAGAGCTCACGTCCCTGCTGAGATGCAGGCAGGCAAGGGGGCACAAGGTGGGGCCTGGCCAAGGTCGAAGGCGCCACCAGGCACAGAGCGAGGTTGCGGAGGGACCAAGATCACTCAGGCAGGGTTGCTTCGGGTCCCAAGGAAGCAGGTGGAGACGGGGCGGGGGGTGAGTTTGCTGTGACGGAGGGTGACGCTTGGGGTCAGCGTTGGGTACTGTGACCAGTGCTGTGTCACCACAGAAGGGGGCAGCTAATGTCCTGGTCACCCTTCCATAGAGCAGGGAGACACCAGGGTCACAGGAAGGTGCGTGTGGAGAGGTGGGGGTCAGGTATAGTGGGGCTCCGGGTGAGGCCATAGTTGGGCAGACAGCAGGGAGGGCACAGTGGAGATGGGGTAAAGGTCACAGGAAGGGTGTTGAGATCACAGTCTGCAACACTTGGGGGCAAGGGGGGCAGACATCAAGGCAAGGGGCACAGCGTGTGAAAAGCCCGGATGTGTATCCAAGGGAGGCATCTCAGCCACCAGGCGCAACATCGTATACGTGGCCGTGAGGGCGAGGCAGCAAGGAGTGAGGTACACAGAGCACGGATGGCTCCCCTCCTGGCCCAACCTTCTGGTCCCGTCCCATCCACAGCTGCGTCCCGTGTCCCAGACCTGCACCCACCTGCTGGTACTGACGCAGCGCCTCCTCTTCACCAGCCAGGCGTGCCCGCTCCTCCTCATCGGGCTGGTATGAGGCAGGCACCTGGTAGGCCTCAGGCCGTGAATAGCAGCACATCTCGCAGCCCGGCCGGGTGGGCTTGTTGATGAAGGTGCACCCAGGACACTGCCAGCCCACCTGTGGCAGAGGGGCTGTGAGCAGGCGGGGGAGGGCTGGGCTGCGCAGGGTGGGCAGACAGGGGTGGCCAGGCTGGGTGCCAAGCAGTGCTTACTGGTGGGGGCTCAGGCACTCCATCGGGCTTTGCTCCTCCAAGTTCCTGGGGTGTCCCGGGCTTGGGAGGGGCCGGCTCCAGGGGGCCTCGTGGTTGTAGCGTGAGATCCTTGAAGCCCAGATCTGCAGGTGGAATCCAGGCTGTTCACTGTGGCCACAGCCTGAGCCAGCAGTCTGAGCCACCTCCAGCCCTCCTGCCCACAGTAAGATGGGCACCTTGGCTCCCCCAGGACCTTGTCCCTACCCCAGCCATGATGTTCCTCTGCAAAACCTGGTGCAGGCCTCCTGAGCACTGAGAGAGACACGTCAGCTCTGAGGCAGGCCTGCCCAGCCCCTGACCGAATCCACTCATGAAGAAATACCCAGCCAACCAATGAAACTGGCCACGAGTTTTCCAGTCAATCAATGGAGACCCAAGACTCAGGGTGACACAAAGCAGGAAGGAAGTGCTATGTGGCAGCTAAAAGATATGGTATCTTTTGCCATGAAAGTAGGACTCATTGTACTTGTGGTAGTCTATGCTTAGAACCCTAGCTGCTTGGGAGGCTAAGGCAGAAGAATGGCAATTCAAGGCCAGCAAGACCCTAGCTCAATATAAAGTTTTAGAAAGAGCTAGGAATGTAGCTCAGTGGAAAAGAGCTTGCCTAACATGTTTAAGGCCTGGGCTCCATCCCCAGTACAGCCAAAAATAAATAAAAAATTGATCGTACTGCAGCAACATTAATTTCCTCAATTGGCATCATACACACAGGAACATGAAAAAGGAATCTCTTTTTACAGAAGTCTACACCTAACTTTTAGGTGGGATGGACATCATTTTGCAGCTCTCAAACTGTTCTGAAAATAAAATAATTTGATATAAAGACAAAATTATAAAGCAAAGTGAACATGGTAAAATGTTGCTATCTGGGGACCCCCACAAAAGGTACATGGACTCTTCATATGACTGTACAACTTGCCTGGGAGTCTGAAATATTGCAAAACTAAAAAGCACAGAATAAACATGTTAGAATTATCATCATAACCAATTTACAAATTTTATTTTTGAGATAGGGTCTCACTATGTAGTCCAGGCTGACTTTGAACACAATATATAGTCCGGACTGGCCTCAAATTTGGAACTCTCCTGCCTCAGCCCCCCAGGATCTGGGATTGCAGGTGTGCACCACCACACCTGGCATAATTTACAAATCTGGGAAACTGAGGAGCAGGGACAGGAATGAACTTGCTTAGCACCGACACTGCTGGTAACCACCAGAGCAAGGACTCAATGTGGGGCCACGCTCCAAGCCAGTGGTCTTGAAATAGATCCGAGATGCTCCCTCCCGCTGTCTTATGACCACTCCCGCCCCAGGACAGCCCTTGGGAGTCTTGACCTGAAGCCACTGTGAGGCCTCACCTTCCAGCATCCGCAGCTGGCGCTGGCGCTGCACCTCCCGCGGGTTAAGCGAGGTGTTGCAGGCCGACAGCAGGTACAGGTAGGCGCTGTCTCCGTTCCGCCGCACCCCGTGGGAGTGCAGCGTCTCCTGGTCTCGGGCCAGCCGCTGCCCTATCACCCACTGCTGTAGGCTGGGGGGGAAGCCATAGTCCAGGAAGACCTGGAGCGGACAGACAGGGGTAGGCAGGGAGGGCCAAGTCGAGAGAGGAGGTAGAACCCGCAGGAGCCGCCCCAAGGCCCAGCACTCACTCACCATATCCTTGAGGGAGGCCACTGTCATATCAGGGCGCACCGTGAGCCAGATGGTGACGGTCTGCACGTGGGCATCCTCCACACTCACACACAGCCTGTGAGGGGGGGCGGGCAAGGACGCGGGTCCCCAGGATCACGCGGAAGCCTCTCCCGGGGCTGCATGTGCACACGCACATATGTGCACCACAGTCCTGCAGCCCAAGCACCCCCCTATGCTCTCCCCGCTCCATGTCCTCACCCCTCCACGTCTTCCCCGCTTCACATCCTCCCCGCTCCACCTGCCCTATCTTCCTTCCTGGTTCCTTAGCCAAACCACCACCAGCTGTCACAGCCTTGTGCCAAGACTATTCGACTTCATGAACTCATTCACGTATTAGCCCCGGGTGGAGCCCAGGAGACAGGTACTGCCCATCCCTTTCCTACAGACACGAGCATGTTACAAAGACTCTGCCAGGGAAACACTAGTAACTAGCAGAGGCAGGCTTGAAATCCAAACAGTATTATCCCAAGGTGATACTTTATTTTATTTCTGCGGTGCTGGGAACGAAGCTGGAGCTCCACGCATGATAGTTAATGCTCTACGACTTAGCTACACCCCAGCCTGACCCCACAACACCAACTTTCTCAAGGAGCCCAAGCATTTCTGGAAGACCCAAAGCATGAGAATGAAGGGACAAAACGAAACAAGAGGGAGGAGCCCAAAGGAAACAGCACGTGGGCACGGAACAGCAGTACAGCCCAGCCCGCACCTTCAGGGAGATATGGGGAGACCCTGCACTGGCGCAGCCAGGGCAACAAGGAGCTAGCACAGGCGAGGCGGCAGTCCTGGAGGTCACAAAGGAGCTCTGGGGCTGCAGCGGCTCAGGGCAGAGCACACACTTATCATGTTGGGGGGGGGCTGGGTTCAAATACACACACACACACACACACACACACACACACACAAGCTAGTTAAACCTGTACCTCCCTCTTCAAGGTACAGAAAAAAAGGAAAGATAATGACATCATGAGGGGGCACTTAATTAATAAATCATTAATGAATCCAGACTGTGGGAGAATTTTAGAGAGCAGGAGAGCACATTTCTGAACAAAATTAATGGCATAGAAATAGAAAAGAATGAGAATGAAGATATTCAAAAATGCCACAGCTGGGTGCAGTGGCTCATGCCTGTAAGCCCTGGGTTCAATCCCTAGTCCTGCCAGGAAGAAGGAAGAAAGAGAAAAGAGGAGAAAAGAAAGGGAAAGAAATGAGGGAGTGAGGACAGAAACGCAGGCGGGGAGGGGAGGGGAGGGGAGGAGGGGGAGGGAGAAAAAAATGCTATGTGCTAGGCGTGGTAACACACACTCTCATAATCCCAGCACTGGAGAGGCTGAGACAGGAGGATCACAAGTAGAAGCTCAGCCTGGGCAACTCAGTAACTTAGTGAGACCGTGTCTCAAAAGAAAAAACTCCAGAAAATACTCTCCAAATTATTCAAAAAATGATTCTGACACCCAACCATCAATGACTTGCAACAGCAAAATACAGGAATGTCTAAGCATGCAGAGACTCCAAAAGTTTACCGTCTACTTTCCACGTGAAAAATATTTCAAAAACAAGAAACAAGAAACAAAAACAGTCCAGCTGTGGTGGCACACACTTGTAATCCCAGCACTGAGGAGGCTGAGGCAGGAGGATTGCTGAGTTTGAGGCCAGCCTGGACTACATAGCAAGACTTTGTCTCAAAAAATCAAAAACAACACAAAAACAAACAAAAAACAAATAAAGAGCAAATGATGAATTTAAACTCTCGAAGTGCTGAATACAGAATCCTTCTGGATTTTTTTTTCAATCAGATTTTATTGACACATTTTAGACCCTCTGAATTTTTACCATATTTTTTTTGCAACTATTCCACCCTAAAGTGATAACAATTTTTGTGTGTGACTCATTGCTGCTTTGTTTTGAGGGGGTACTGGGGACTGAACCTAGGGCCTTCACATTGAGCCATATTCTCAACCCTTTTTTTAAATTCTGAGATAGGATCTCACTATATCACTAAATTGCTGGGCTCAAATTTGTGATCCTCCTGCCTCAACCTCCTAGAGTGCTGGGATTATAGGCGTGCACCATCACATCTGGCTTCTTCCTTGCCTTTCTAAAGCAGTCACAGTATTTGTCACTGACATAATTCTCTTTAGCTCTCACGTTTTATTAACAAGTAAAAGCTAATTAAATTATGTTATTACCATAACAAGTTCAACTGGCAAAAACAGGTTAGGGAGCACACGCAGCTGACTGCTGGATCAAATCAGCTTCATGCCCAGAAGCTAGGGGAGCAAGTTTATGCGTGAGGGGCCTGCTGGCCAGGGCTTCTTAGAACACAGGGTTGTGGAGGGGACCAGATGCCACCCTTGCTGCTGGTCCACACGCCACACTAGAGGGAGGGTGCTGGCAGGTGCTGTCCACCAGGAGCAGCAGCATGTACTTCAGAGGAGACGCCAGTGCCTGTTAACCAGGGATTCAAATTGAGGTCAGTGGGGAGTGTTCCTCCTCTGACTTGATCCTCTACATGAAACTCAAGAAGGCCAGGCAAGCCGTGTGTGGTGGCGCCTGCCTGTAATCCCAGCACCCGGGGCGGGGGGGTGTGGTAGTAAAGCAGGAGGATGGCTGTGAGTTGAGGCCAGCCAAGGCTACACAGCAAGTTCAAGGCCAGCTTGCACTAGAAGTGAGACCATGCCTTACGAAAACAAAACAAAACAAACAAAACTGTAGCTTTGTAGGGGCTTTTGAAATCAGGACATGTGAGTCTACTTTGTTCTTTTCAAGATTATCTTGCCTATTTGATTCTGTAGGTCAACTGGTCACTTCATTTTTTTTTTTTTTTTTTTTTTTTTTTTCTAACCGAACTCACGACCTTGCACTTGCCAGGCAGGCGCTT